GTAACATTTTTAATGCAGATTTGCTGTTGGTGAGGGAAGAGATTAACGCTGTTACCAATAGAGTGCAGGTGGCAGAAGAAGATATTTTGTCAATGGCTCAGACCCAGTGGCCACAACAAAGCAAGTTACTTGTCTACAGGTCTCAAACCAAAAGATTCTGCTTCAATTGGTGGCACTGGATGACTATTGAGGGGGAAAAAAAACCCTTAAAGTGAGGGGTATTGCCAAGGCAGTACATGCAAAGGAATTGGTACACTTTATTCGTTACCTACTGGCTACTATCTTACTGCAAAGACAGGAAAAATCTATCCATATTGATGGCTGGTTGCACCTTCAAAAATAGGCAAGAATCTCAGGGATGTTCTTCTTTGCGTCACAACATGTATAGATAAATTGGCTGTCCTGGAGGGATTGAAATCTAAAATGCCCTTTCACTTAGAACCATTGCCACTCATGTTGCTGCAAGATATATGTAAATCCACTTTGCAGTGCGGAATATCGTTCTACACCATGACAAAGGCCCTATGGGATGCCAAATTGAGTTATCGGTAGGGGCAGGCGCACTCTACCTCCATTATAAAACATGTAAAGACCTACAAACTCACTTCTGTAGTGAACTCTGCTCCTTTCCTCTTGTCACTGGGTCTGCCCCTATTGGGTAAAATGCTGGAGTCTTGTAAGACTTGGGATGTGTTTAATATAGTCCCCTTGTCCCCTGTACCACAGTTGACATGGGCTAAAGGATATACTGTAATCAGGAAAACCAGAGATCCTCCAAATAGTAGTGCAGCAATATTTTAATAACAAAGAAAAGCAACCAATAGTGCAATATATCTTCTAGTATGTGTAGTAAAATAATAGAATCCTACTTACGAATTCCAGAGCATTGGCCTGTTCTGGGTGTGAAGAGCTTTGGTGGTTTGATCTCCATCATGGACATAATAGAAGCAAGAAAGCCAGGACAAAAACAGTGAAAGTGGTACAGATATAAAATATATATCAAAAAGGTAGAAGGTATGCCGTTTATGTAACAAAGTAGTTCTGAAAATTAACTAAACTAGCTAGAACCAGGCCAGAACATAGTTATTTCATTTTTCAACAATTATTATCTGACTAATATTCATAGTTGCCAACTGTCCCGGCCAATTTACTGTCCTGGGACAGTCCGGCAACTTGCAGAGCCATGTGCTTTTATTATTTTCCCTCTGATCGTAACAGCCTGTTACAGTCTGAGGGAACTCAGGACAGAGGTGCACACTGCTGGGAGATACTGGGAGCTATAGAGAGGTGCTGCGGGCTGCTAGTGGCCGGAGGGAGCACTGACAGTATCCCTTCCAGTATCCCTTCTGATTTCCCAGCAGCTCCCTGGCACAGCAGGCTGCGCCCCGACGCAAGTTCCACCCATGCATTTTTTGTTTGTAGTGAGCTTGTGTGTGTGTCAGTGAGCTTATCTGTAGTGAGCTTGTGTGTGTCAGTGAGCTTGTTTGTTTTTTTTTTAATTCTTTATTTTATTTGTGCATGAAGTAACAACAAGCGTGCAGAGCCACAACAGCCGCTGCAAGCAGATTCATAGAATTCCAAAGTGTGGCAGGTTAAACGGCACATTTTTTTTTTTTCCTCCTGAAAAAAAAACAGGCTATAAGACATTCGTGGTTAGCAATAAACATGCTATGCTAAATTTGTATACAACAGAACTGTTCTCGCTTAATGGTTTGAATAGAGCAGGATTGGTTAGTACTAGCACCTTTTTATATTATAGGTTAAGCGAGGATTTAGGTAAATTGAATAGTCAACTTGGTGCGGTTAAAACAGGCATATACGATTCAAGAGCATGTTAAGGGTTAAAAACAGGCTATAAAACATTCGTGGTTAGCAATAAACATGCTATGCTAAATTTGTATACAACAGGACTGTTCTCGCTTAATGGTTTGAATAGAGCAGGATTGGTTAGTACTAGCACATTTTTATATTATAGGTTAAGCGAGGATTTAGGTAAATTGAATAGTCAACTTGGTGAGGTTAAAACAGGCATATACGATTCAAGAGTATGTTAAGGGTTAAACGGGCTTACTCTTACTGCAGGTTTGGCAAGTCATATTGTATAGCTTTATAATGCAGTGGTTCTGCGCACTTATGTTTGCATGCTATAGTGGGGTGATTCTGGCAGCGCTGCATGCGAACGTGTTTGGGTGTGTGTGTACCACTGTGCAGATTCCTGCTTGGAGAGTGTGCTCTGGAACATGAGTGTAATAACTCCTAACCAGGGGAGCTGCGGGGGGGGGGGGGATATTTTCATGGTCACGCCATAGACTATGAGTGTATATGTGGGAATGCTGCCGTGCCCTGTCGGTTTGAGGTGGGTTGTGTAGGGCCCTTTGTGCCATTAGTTGCGAACTATCTACAAATTCAAACATGGTGGACATTCCCTCATAGACAACATATAAGCAAAATCAATAAGTATGCAACAGGGCAGGCAATAAACTTTTGATATTAGTTGGGTTTGCGAGGATTGTAATGTGTCCTTGTTCTGCTTCCCCTGGAGGGGCTAAGTGTCCAGCGTCAAACCGGTTCCCAGAGGCTGTTGCCGTTCCGTGGTCTTGGAGCTCCCGGCCCTTGGAACAAAGGGGGTGATGTGTTCTGGGTCCCAGCTAGCAGTGGTTGGCCTCCCATGTGGGGTAGCAGCGATCGGGATGTCCAGTCCCAGTGCCTTCAAAAATTCGGGTGCACCTTCCATTGAGGTGAGTGTGTGGTGAGTTCCGTTCCGGTGCACCATTACGGAGCCGTTGGGCCCCCATCTGTATTCGATGCCCACTGACCTCAGGCCACCGGTGAGAGAAGAGAAGGTTTTCCTCCAGGTGAGGGTGGCTTTTGTTAGGTCCTGGAAAAAGTACAGTGTAGTTCCTTCAAAATCCAGTGGTGTTTTCCCTTTAAGGGCCGTCATGAGCTGTATTTTGTCTTGTATTGTTGGACATCTGAGTATCACATCTCGGGCTGTGTTTTTCGGTGCCCTGGCGGAAGAGGGCAAGCGATAAATCTCTGCTGTGGCTAGTTTTTTGGCTGCAACTGGAGGCAAGATTGTGGCTATGAGGCGCCTGGAGTAGTGTGGCAGTTCGTTTGGTGTGACTTCCGCAGGGATGCCCCTTATCTTTATATTAGTGCGTCTTTGTTTTTCTTCCAGAGCAGTGAGCTGTGCAGTTAAGGCTTTATGTTGTGTGTGTACCTGCTGCACAGATTCTTGTAGGTTGGATAGATGTTCCTGCAGGCTTGTGATGTCTTTTTCGGTTGCCTGCACCCTGCTGGTGATTGCTTTGATGTCTTTTTTGATGGGAGCAAGTTCCGTCGCTAGAATTGTGTGAAAATCTGTCAGCAGGGTTTTTAGATCCTGTCTGGTGATTGGGGCTGTGTCGGTTGTATCATCCCCCTGTTTTGGGCTCTCTACCTGGGTGCCCTTGGAGGCCGCCATTTCTGGGTGGTGAGTGTGGGCTGCGGGGCTCGGGGGTTCGGCAGGGGCGGTTTTGGCCTGCATAGGCCTCTGAAGCATGGCCCCGATATCCCTGCTGTCTGCTGTGTGTTGCGGTCGTTGGGAGCGGCGGCCCATAGCTGGCATGTGTGCCGGTGTATCGGTCGTCTTGGGGGTCGCCCAGTCCCACACTTGTCTTGCCACCGTGCCGCTCAGGATCGCCTCCAGGCCTGTGTGTGTCAGCGTGGGGTAGGCCCCGATTCTCTTTCTCCGCTTGGGTTGATGGGCGGCCGCAAAGAACGGCATCTACCGTGTCAGGAGGGGTTGGAGGATCGGTGTGTCCACTCTCTGTGGCTGGATGGTCCAGTTGTGGCGTGATTTTCCCCGGATTTAGCGAGGTTTGTGGAGGAGCCCATAAGAATGGCGTCTCTCCAGGTTGATGGTCAGGCTCCGCCTTCCCAGTGAGCTTGTTTGTAGTGAGCTTGTGTGTGTGTGTGTCAGTGCCCAGGCTGACAGATGAGACCTGTTTTCTTGCTGTGGGCCCTCTTGGGCTGGTGAGGAAATCAAAGATTGTGTGCTTACTGTATACCTGTATACTGTACAGTAAAGAGAGAATTGCAGGGAATTGAGATGGGAATTTCAAACTTTAGGCCGAAATAGTGCAGCTGATTGGGAGGATTTTTCCAACTCGGCTAATTTAGCCTTAAGTTTAAAATTACCATCTCAATTCCATGTAATTCTCTCTTTATTGAGTAGACCCTGTAATCTGCACTATGATAAGTAGGCAGAGATTAACCATGTGAGTTGGACACAGTGGGCCGAGCTTTGTGGCAGTGGGTGTGGTACATTTTCAAGGTACGGTAGTAATTGATAGTTGTGCTGCAAAGTGTCCCTGGAATTTTTTTTTTAAATGTTGGCAACTATACAAGACTTTTGTCACATTTTTAAATTCACCATAGCATACGTGACAGGCCCATCTTCATGATATAGAGTTTGCATTGTTAACATGACTGCTATAAAAATACAGCACAATAGAAATTATTATTTATGGAATTTTAAAAATAAAAGTTAGGGTGGCCTATAACCCACAGACTATTCAAGGGTCACTTGTCCAGAAAAGGGCACCAATAGTGTTTCCAATTATGTTTTTGTTATGTTCTTACATATTGATAAAAATAAAATGTGGCCTTGAGTCTCTGCTCAATGATCCTAAATATTCACCAATGTAAAGTGAATGTAAAAGGCTCTTATATGTAAATGTGGATCTCACTGTTACACCTGGTTTATTGAAAATTAAGAATTAAAAAAAAAAAAATAACCCAGAGAAATATTGTATAACTATAAAATATCAAAACTAGCTGGGATGCAGAGAATACTTTTAAATGATTTAATATTTTGTCCTATTGCAGTAGACTAGACTCCAATACAATGGTTGCCTTAGTTGAAGGAAAGCACGATCAAGTCTCTAGTTTTTAGAACTCTATCTATACAGCGCTAGAGGCGGTGCACTCTGTAATCTCATTGGTTTAGTTGTTTTAGTGTTACGAAACCTGCAGTTAGTGGGCGTGGTCACTGCCGGCTCACAGCGGAGGTCGTAGTGTGTATCCCAGGTCTCGGTGTGATGTCATAGAGATTACGTCACGGTGGAAGTGTTGGAGCCGTCACACAGTCGCCGTTTCGCCGCCTGTCCTCCCGGATGGCGCACCGTTGCCTGCTCCTGTCCGGGGCCGGGCGAGCCTTCACCGCAGCCCTAACCCCACTGCTGAATAACAGTGCAGCCCGCCAGGCAGGGGCCTGCTGTGTGAGGAGGGTAAGTCACCTTCTGATGGCTGTAGCAGGGGCAGCCATGATCGGCAGCACGGTGGCCGAACGGTGGGTAGACCAGGAGCCTTTATAACTCCTACAACACATGGCCAGCATTAAAGGCAGACCCACAGCTATTAAACTGCAAATCCAATGATGCTTTGCCAGCTTTTACATTAAAGGACCGCTGTAGGCACCCAGACCACTTCAGCTCAATGAAGTGCTCTGGGTGCCAGGTCCAGCTGGTTTCAGAGAAACTGCTATGTTTACCTCTGAGGTTTAGCCAGCCTCTAGTGGCTGGCTTCTGGACAGCCACTAGAGGTGCATCTGTGACGCTGGAGGCACATTGCGCGTCTATAGGAAAGCATTGAGAAATGCTTTCCTATGGACACTTTGACTGCGTGCGCCGCACTTGCCGCGCATGCGCATTCAGCCCCACTGACATGAGACGGGGAGGAGAGGTCACCTCTCTTGCCGCGCATGTGGCGGATGACGTCGGAAAAGGGAGGAGAGTCCCCAGCGCTGGAGAAAGGTAAGCGTTTAACCCCTTCCTCCCCCTAGAGCCCGGCAGGTTTGGGGGGGTGGGGGGGGAGGGACTTATTAACACTATAGTGCCAGGAAAACTAGTTTGTTTTCCTGACACTATAGTGGTCCTTTAACAGAGTATGATGGGCATTGTAGTTATATAACACCAGGGGCTTTCCCCTTTCTTCACCAGCCTTCATCTGGAATTACAGGGCTCTTCACTGATCTGTGGTTACCCACATGTATAGTTGGCCAGTGAGGGTGCTCTGCGATGGGTGTTGTCTGGGCTAGTGGGGGTGCTCTGCAATGGGTGCTGTCTGGGCCAGTGAGGGTGCTCTGCGATGGGTGCTGTCTGGGCTAGTGGGGGTGCTCTGCGATGGGTGCTGTCTGGGCCAGTGAGGGTGCTCTGCGATGGGTGCTGTCTGGGCCAGTGAGGGTGCTCTGCGATGGGTGCTGTCTGGGCTAGTGAGGGTGCTCTGCAGTGGGTGCTGTCTGGGCCAGTGAGGGTGCTCTGCAGTGGGTGCTGTCTGGGCCGGTGAGGGTGCCCTGCAATGGGTGCGCACCATAACAGCAATGCAAAAAAAACCAAACAACCCTATAATACACGTAAACGAAAGGGTAAATAATAAAATACGCTAAAATACACTTTTACCTTAAATAATCCATATTATTATTTAGTGGTGTCCTATAGGTAAAGGTGAGTTTCATAATAAATGCTGAAATGCATCATAGTTGTCACGTGTACACTCACTGTCGCAAATATACTAATGAGAGGTGGTGGACACGAAATCTCTGCAAGGTTTATATGCATAAATGTAGAGGGATGACTTTTTTTTCTTCGGTGCTGGGTTTTACATTTGGTTGTCATCTGTAATACCAACATAGTATGTTGGTATTGCACTCGTAATACCAATTTTAAGGTGTGGCACGTCATCATTGTGTTACGGCAAAGCAATCAAAGCATTATAATCATTGACAATAAAGAGACACTTTTTCATGTAAGAGATTTTGTTTGGGTATAAAAATGGTGTATTCATTGTATTTGCAAGCTTGACATATGATTGCAGATCTCTTCTCTCAGTATTGTACACAACCCAATGGCTAACTAGAAGTTAGCAAACTATTTGTTATGCTATGCTTTTTTTCCTCTTCAATTCTGAGATAAAAAAAAAAAAAGACAGACATAGACTGCTTAGTTGTCCTGGCATGGCTTGAGCTTCCCTTTGAAATTAATTTAGTCACTGTGGCGCCATATGCACCATAAACTTGTGTATGGTACTATGGAATGAATGCCTGAACGCACATGCATTTATATGGCATGTATCTCCAGGTGACTGACACAGCCTGCATGGAAAAAACATGGTTTCATTTTCAGTCAGATGTTACATTGAAAGTTATCATCTCCTGTTCTGTAAATTGAACTTTCATTACATACAGGGGGCTCTTGCAGGTTCTAGCAAGCTATTAGCAGAGCAGGAGATAAGAAATTCTAAATTAAACAGAATCTGCAATAAAGAAATTATAGACATTAGATTATTCTTTACAGTAAGTGTTTAGGAAGGCCACGCACAGGGAGGTGTGACTAGGGCTGCATAAACAAAGTGATTAACTACTAACTAGCACAGAATTGAGCAGTGAGACTGCAGGGGCATGATCTATACACCAAAAATACTTCATTAAGCTAAGTTGTTTTGGTGACTATAACGTCCCTTTAAAGGTGAATTCCAAAGAGCAACACAACTTTTATGTAAGTTACCACTTTAAGACTTCATATTTAGCTGTAATATTTTTTTTTTTTTTTGCTTGTTTGATTTTGTATATATATTTTGCAATGAATAAATATTTAGCAGCATCCTGTTTCTCCCATTTTAAAACATTTCTTGCTGGTTTCTGTATTTGGTATATGAGGCAACAGCTGTACCCACTTTCTGTCCATCCTTCCTGACCAGTGTTTCTCCAATAACACAGTTATCCGTGTCATCAGGAAGCACAGCAGTGGCTTCACCCTTGCTCTGAGCAGGACTGTAACTTTGAAATCTTAGAGTCAGAATCACAAGCAGTTTCTTATTGCCAGGTTTATTGATGATGAAAAAGACAAAGCCTCATATGCATCTTCAATTATATGGCTGTCTGCATGGTTTTATGGGATTGCAGAATTTTACAGTATATGTGCGGTGTGCTTTGCCTTTCTTAAATGACATGCATTCCTAAATAATAAAAAGGAAGTAATTTGTCATGAATTATTTGCCAGTGTACAGTATATGCTGGCATAGTTTATTATAATCCATTGTTAAAGCGGTGCGGTCATTATGCAGGTTTTGGGTTTAAATGCGTTGTTTTTGTCCTTCTATTTACCTTGATTTTTTTTTTTCAGTTCAATTTGTTAGTTCTACCTGAGAAAATGTAAATACTACTGTTTATGTAAATTGTGCTTTATTTATTTTTTCCTTTTTTTAAATTGCATTAGGCAAACCATTAAACAAGAAAGTTCAGAGCAATTTCAGCAGGCAAGTTAGGTTGAGCTTCAGCTTGCCAGATAACAATAGAATCCACTATGGCTGCTTGGCCAGAAAAAGTAAAATTTAAAGACAAATCTAAGTACATACGTTAAAAAAAAAACTTTATTCTGTTTTATCAGATGTAGTAAACGATAGAATAATAAATAAGAAGTGAAAATTTGATAGCAGTTGTCCTTTAAAGAAAAAAAAATATATATTTTTAAATGAAGTGTGTGTGTGTGTGTGTGTGTGTGTGTATATATATATATATATATATATATATATATATATATATATATATACACACATTACTAACTTTAGTATATGAAAGAATCCTCTAGTGATATGCATGCACCATAGGTCCAACAGTGTTTGAAAACCTGCAGTACTAGAGAGACTAAATATATTGATATTGAGATTCAGCACAAGGAAGACATAAGACATAAAATTTCAAGGGCTGTGGGTAGTATCAACCCTTGACCATACATGACCACTACAGACCGCTGTACCCCATGGCTAGTTACTATCCTCTTTCCCCTTTCTGTTTAGCATGGCTTTGAAGTAATATACTGATAATAAGAGACCAGTAATTGGATGCGAGTGAGCGCCATATCATCAGCTCACACATGTATATTGGTTAAGGTACACTGTGCACCTTCAGATCAGGAAGACAAATTGTGAAAAGGGGAGGATGGGCTAACAAGGTGAGTTATGCTGCAGATAGCCGCAAAAACTGGAAAATTTATTCAAATTTACTGTTATTGTTTTCTGGTAATATACCATGGCAGCACAACAATGACTACAACTCCTCCCAAATCAAAATGTACAGGAACACCTACTAATTAACCCTTTAAGGACGGAGCCAAATGTACACGTTGTGAACAAAACAAAATGTAAACAAAACCCGGCATTTGTGCTACATGTCTGGCCAAAGTTAGCGTTAGTATTTGTTTGTGTGTGAAAAATGCAAAAAAACGCCAATTTTGGCCAGTGTTTGTGACTAAGTGGCTACTAAAAAAGACTGGACATACCCCGTTTGCAATACCTTGGGTTGTCTACTATTGCAAATGGTATGCCATCATAGGGGTAATTTTCAATCTTGGGCTACCATAGGGTCTCAAAGGCAACCTAACCAATCTGGTGAATTTTAATGTGAAAAAAATGAAACGCAAGCCTTATAGTTGACGCTGTAACTTTTGAAAATACCATAAAACCTGTACATGAGGGGTACTGTTGTACTTGGGAGACTTCGCTGAACACAAATATTTGTGTTTCAAAACAGTAAAAAGTATCGCATCAATAATATCGTCCGTGTAAGTGCTGTTTGTGCGTGAAAAAATGCAAAAAACGTCACTTTTACTGGCAATATCATCGTTGTAATATATTTACTGTTTTGAAACACTAATATTTGTGTTCAGCGAAGTCTCCCGAGTAGAACAGTACCCCCCATGTACAGGTTTTATGATTTCTTGGAAAGTTATAGGGTTAAATATTGTGCTAGCAAATTAAATTCCCTTTACTCTGGCATGGGTTGTCAGGCAGATCCCGCTAATTGTAATTAATTAAGATACCTAATTATGTAAAAATATTACATAAATATATATGTAGAATTAATATATGTATGTGTGTATATATATATATATATATATATATATATATTCTATATAATTTTTTTTAAATATTTTTATTTATATATAGGTGTGTGTATGTATGTATATATATATATATATATATATATATATATATATATATATAGTGATATATACGTATATATGTATGTATATAGATATATTAATTTCACAATACAGTTAGAACGAAATAACACACATTTTTTTATTTTTTTATTTTTTTTTAATTTAACGTATTTACATATTTTTTTTATATTATATATAAATATATATATAACAATAATTATATATATATTTAATCAGTATCAGTCTACGTGTAATTTGATATTAATATATATATATAATATATATATATATATATATTAATAGTAAAATACACCTAGACAGTGTACGTGTGTATTATTATTATTATTATTATTATTTTTAAACTTTTTAATTTATTTTTATTTTCAGCCAGCAGGGGGACCACCTGTCATTACAGGCAGCCCCCCTGCTGGCAATGCAGGAGGCAGCTATCCCCGGCCATGTGATTGTGAGGTCCTCGCAAGGACCCCACTCTCACATGGCCGGGGGGCTTCCTGGACGTCGGACGTGCAGCGGGGGGCTCCCTGGGAGTCCCCCCAACCGCGATCGCCGGCAACCGGGTAAGTAGGAAAAGACTGGAGGGCGTACTATTACGCCCGGCGGCGTTTAGAGCCACTTAGAATAGGGCGTAATAGTACGCCCTCCAGTCTTAAGGGGTTAAATAAAAGGTACACCCCAAACCCCCTGCCCACAGTCTAGTAAAAAGCTAGCAATTTCAAATGATAGTGGGTGTGTAGTATTGACATGGAAAAAAACATGTCCTGCACTAAACTCCCACTACTCTTGGGCGGCAGCAACAACCATAGTACACATCAGCCCCAATACATACAGTAAAAACCAAAGACAAAAGTTACCTGCACTCTCACCTAAATCCCTATGTATATTTAAAGGATCACTATAGGGTCAGGAACACAAACATGTACTCCTGACCCTATAGTGTTAAAACCACCATCTAGCCCCCCTGTGCCCCCTCATGCCTCCATAAATAGAGTAAAAATCTTACTGTATTCAAGCCTGAAGCTGTACATCTGCATGTTAGACTCAGAAAAACAAGCAGTCTACTGACATCATCAGAAGTGGTAGCCTGCTCCAATCACAATGCTTCCCCATATGATTGGCTGAGACTGACAAGGAGGCAGACCAGGGCCAGAGCCAGCATGATTCAAACACAGCCCTGGACAATCAGCATCTCCTCATAGAGATGAATTGAATCAATGAATCTCTATGAGGAAAGTTCAGTGTCTGCATGCAGAGGAAGGAGATACTGAATGTTTGGGTGCATTTTAAGCAGCCATGACCCAGGAAGGATCTCTAACAGCTATCTGAGGAGTGGCCAGTGAACTTATCACTAGGCTGTAATGTAAACACTGCATTTTCTCTGAAAAGACAGTGTTTACAGCAAAAAGCCGGAAGGTAATGATTCTACTCACCAGAACAAATTCAATAAGCTCTAGTTGTTCTGGTGACTATAATATCCCTTTAAAAAATTGAGGTTATTTAGTTACTCCATTAGAGGGAATGCCCATCTGCCACGTCAAAGCAAACCCCTTAGGTGGGTCCTACACTGACTATTCACCTTGGTTCCTTGAGCTTCTGGAAAATATATATTTAAGACAGAAAGGGGTAATTTTTTTTTTTTTTATATAAACCCATCCATGCTTACTAACCCTTAATAGGGAACACATGGGGTGGGCGGGTGCAGGACAAAGCCTCTTCTCTCTAAAAAGAACATGACAGCACCGCTTAGGTTTCAAAGTTGCATCTGAACAACCATAAAACTTCTGGAACAATATTCTTTGGACAGACATGACCAAAGTGGAGATGTTTGGCCATAATGCATAGCACCACTTTTAGCGAAAACCAGACACGACATATCAGCACAAACACCTCATACTGAGGGAGGGGATTAGGGCTTGTTTTTCAGTCACAGGACCTGGGAACCTTGCAGTCATTGAGTTGACCAAGAACGCCTCTGTATGTCAAAGTATTCTAGAGTCAAATTTGAGGCCATTTGAACGACAGCTAAAGCTTTGTCAAAAGTCATGCAACAGGACAATGATCCCAAGCACACCAGCAAATCTACAACCGAATGGCCCGAAAAAGAAAATGACCAGCGGTTAAGGCCACTTGGAGAAGTCTTCTTTAGATATAAAAAGTACAAAGAAATGTTCCCTAAAGATTTTGAGGGCCTATGGAACAAGTGGCAGACCCCAAGTAGGGGAGCGAGATTTTACCAAATCTTTAGAACTGCTGTAAGTATTTTGCAAATATCTTTATCTAGGGTATGTTTCTTCTCTAAGAGACCAGACATTTAAGAGTTACTTAGATTGTCTTTTATCCCTACGTTCTAAAATATCTTTTTGCTAAAAGGAGAAAGGACAGGTTTCTGCTGGAGAGAGATGGTATCCACTGCTTGCAATGGGTGTCCATTGACTGATTTAAAAAAAAAAAGAAACCTTAGACTTTTCCTCTCAGTTTCCAAACAAGTGCTAGGTTTGAAACAGATATGGAAGAGTTCCCATGTCATAAGGAGGTTAAATTGCCAGCATCCTGAGAATGTGGAACCAAGGATGTTGAGAATAGGACCAGATGGTTAGGACTGCCACTCTTTGTCTTTTAATTTTCTTTAGGAGGGAAAATATGAGAGGGAAAGGAAGGAATACGTAGCACACACTTAAAAGCCACACGCAGGTCAGGATGTCCATGCACTCGACCAAAGGACCACAGAATTGAAAGAAAAAGCTCTGCACATGATGATTTCATGGAAGATGACGTCAGGTCTATCTGTGATATACCCAACCAGTCATCAAGCAACTTTTCCTGGAGAGACACCATTATCTGGATACAGCATAAGATATGCTACCTGTTTGAATTGACCTGGGAAAAAATGACCATAAGACCCTAAAGTTTCTTTAGCACCCAACACATGAGAAGATGGATGACATAATCAGCTCTAATGACCTCCTTGATGATTCAGATAGGCCACAATTGAATTATCATCTATTTTGACCTTTCAACTATTTTTGGAAGAGACCAGGTTGGAAGCAGAGAAGTGCTTTGTAAATTGACATTTGTCCTTGTTCAGTCTGGTGGTAAAGATGGTCCAAGGAATTCTCTCCAAGATTTAAACCATTGAAGAGTTTTTCTTTGATTTTCCACCATTTTGGCTTTCTTTTCCATTTCCTGATTCATGTTTTGAAAGAAGAATTGGGCCAGGAAGGATTTTTGAGGGATTCACAATCTCTGTTCTACTGATCTTGTGAGACCTATTGTGGATAGAAGACTTGCCAACAGGCTCACAAATTCTCTTTCAGGAACTGCTGAAAGAGGATCTGATGAACATTTCTTTGGAGACAAAAACCTCTCTTTTTGTAACTATCTCACTGACTGTTCTATGGTATTGAATTGAACACACAAGTAAATTTTCTGGGATGGAATCAGATGACTCTTCTTGAAACTGATGTTCCAGCCATGAGCTTACAGAATCTTCATAACCTGTCTCGTTGTGTTTCCATGGTTTGCAAATTCTCTATCAAAATCAGGGTGTTATAATGGAAGATAGAAATCCCTAGAAAATGAATTTTTGCAACCAGGAAAACTAAAATCTAGGAGAAAGTTCTCGATGCCATATTTAGACAAATCCAGAGGGCTCTGAAATGTAACTGGGGCTGACCCACAATACATTTTAGCACATTTTAATAACTATTGGTGATTTAGGAAATATAAATTGATGTCTATTGACTCCATAAAATCATCTGGAGACATTTTTATGATGGCGTTCAAGGATTCTGTCTTAAATTGTCTTACAGATTCTGTATTTAGCTTGTTAAGGTCTAGAATTGAACACTATTCCACTGAAACATGTCTTCAAACCCTTTCTTCTATATGAATTGGATAGAAGACTTGTTCTCTCGGAAGATTCAAAATAAAGTTCAGTTTTTTTAGATCCTATGGAATCTGTATACATAAAAGCAGAGTTAGAGGGACAGAAGAGAATTCTAGAAAGTATCCTTGTCAAAGATTTTTTTATAACCCATGCATCTTTTGTTAAATATTCCAGACCTCTTAGAACTGGGAAAAAAAACTTGCTTACTCTCTAAAAGCCAGGGCAGGGATGTGGTGTGAAGGCCATTCTTGTTACGGCCAACTCAAGAATTGGATACAGTTCCATTCCAGAAATGGTCTCCGAGGAATTTCTTGCCAGATCTGTAGTTCCTGTCAAAAAAATAGGCTTAGTTCTGTTTCCTACGGGAAGAAAGCATTTTGCAGCTCCTAATGCTTTCATGTAGATGTTTTCTAAAGAAAAGGAAGGGGGACAATGTTGTCGTTTTGGGAAGCCTGACTATATAGCTGCATTCATTTTTATGCACTTGTTTCTCACATTAATATAATTTATTGAGAATTAATTCCTTGTTGGTCTCGTGCAGAGGAAAAGGAGCACATCTCATTAGAACTTTTGCCAAGAAAGCTCCTCTTAGATGGGTTCCTTGAGGTTCTTTCTCACAGTCTTAATTAAACGCTTTACTCTCTTGTTTAAAGAACTGTAGAGAATGAGGAGAGTTTTCATGCATGGATGAATCATTGTCCTCTTTAAATACTGGAGTAATATCACCACTGGAACTGGAATCATAATAAATCAGAAGTAAAGGATCCATGATGTCTGACAAGTTCATAAATACATTCTGGTACTGCTTCATTGAAGAAGGATAATACATAAAGGAGATGTACTTGCTGTGCCTGCAGCTGCTTTTGAACTTGAGGAATATAAGCAAATGCCCTCCATGGCTCCATTCTTTGAAGAGAGGGACATGTCTATTTCTTATAAGAGTCTGACTTGTGAGGAGGCCTGGAATGAACAGCCAAAAGTTAAAAAGTGGCTTACCTTTAACCTCTGCAATGCAATGTATTTTGAGAATGACTTGCAAAATCCATAGTTTACACCAGGCAACTGAAATAAACAAATTGAAAACAAAATTCTAGATAAAAAGCCAAAATAAACCTTCAGTAAATTAATAAAGTACTTATCTAAATAATTGTCTTTTTAAGATTGCCATTACACCAAAAACAATCCCCTATAATCAGAAGCAAACAAAATCTTTAAATAGTGAAAGTTGATAACATTTGCACAATTAAACACACGGCAAAATAGGAAGAAAAAAAAGCAACAAACAGACTAAACTTGTGAAATGTGGATCCAATAATTTTCTCAGAACTCGATGCAGAAATGCCCAAGTACATCCGTTTATCAGCATACAATGCCCAAGGAAGGGTAAACCCAGACATTTGTTTCTTGTTCAGTGAATTTAATACCTAATTGATTTAAGTTATTGTAATTACTAAATGCCTATTTAACCATTGCCTTGGCTTATTGCTCAATTGAGTATCTCTCGTCTGCCTTGTAGCGCAAAGTAATCCATCAGATTACCTTGTTCATCCTTGGCTAGAGACCTTGGTTCGTGTTTCTGACTACTCTTTCGGAATGTCTCTAAGGGAACCTTTAGGGGATTGCCATTGGTAAAGTTTCAATTCCTGGGTTTCCATATGGAGAGAGCCTGAAAAAGGAGCTGGAAAAAGGACGTGTTCCTTTAATTAGGTAGCATTCCTGTCCATATTGAAGTGGGAGGTGTTAAATCCATCCAATTTTATTTTATTTATTTATTTTTTTATAAATTCTTTATTTTGAATTTTTCAGTAATATGGGGGTTAGGGTACAGAAAAGAAAACTTGGGAGCAAGGATAATTTCACAGAGACCATGAGTCGCATTAGTGTGTTACAAAACAGTCATAAAGAAGAGGTAATTACATAGCAGTTTGTTCCGTAACTGTTGCGGTCCTTCGTTGTTGCTGTAAGACTCTGGTCCCGTTTCCGAGAGAGGGTTCTGAAGTTTATTTGTAGAGGGGTATAACATTGTGTTGCAATATATTATATTGTAACAGCTATAACAAGATTATTTTTGGTTCGTATGTTACATAGTTGTGTGCGTAGTGTGCCGTTCGTTTCAGTGTTTGGTCGGTGTGTTTATGAGGTTCCCTTCGGGGAGAGTTAGGGGTACCATGAGGGAAAAGGGGGGGGGGTTTGGTCTGGTGGGGGTACTAGTCCTATTGCCTAGTGTATAGACCTGTTGTCTCCTGGTGTCATGTATCTTGGCATGAGCTCTATTAGTGTGTGGGTCCTTGGTGGTTGGGTGGTGTTGGTCTGAGGCCAATTGTGGTCCTTCCCATGGACTTTATATTTGATTCTACTTGGGCTGTCACCTAGAGTAGGGTGTGTTGGTCAGGGTCTCGGTAGGTGTTTCCTGATCTTTATTTTATTTTTTGAAGCATCTCTTATTAAAAATGCACAGACCACTTAAAACTGGAAAAAATTTAATTTTGCTCCCATTCCAAGTCTGAGCTGACGTCCCAGCAAGGTTGTTTCCATTTACGTGAAGTGCATCCCTTGCTGTGACCAACTCGAGAACTGGATACACCTCCTTTCCATAACCGATCTGAGGAACTGCTTGCCAGATATGTTCTGCCTTTAGTGTCTGTTACAATAGGAATGTCTTTTTGTTGCTTTTTGTAGGGTTTATTAACTAAACACCAAATTGCATTGAACTCGAAACAGAAGCATTTTGATCCAGGCTAATATCTCTTTTGAGGCAATTTATCACCCTATTTAGAAATATATTTCATGGTTATTATACAATGTAAAAAGAAAATACAATTATTAGAATTTTTTTTTTTTTTTTTACCTTTTGTGTTCTTATTGTCATTTCTTTCTAAATAGCAATCTATTGTGACTTGGCTACTTTGATAGCTGGGCCCATACAGTAGCACTATTATACACTAGTTGAAGTTTACTCTCTGCTGCAATTATGTTCAATCAAATGCACCATAGTTCTGTATTATACTGCTTATCAGTGTAAATGTGTACACTAGCAGTCTAACATTGTATTAGGCCTGGACAGATACCAAGGGCAAGCCATTCACGTGCATCTTATATTTTTGCAAAGGATGAACTATTTTGTACCTGGCTGTTTGATTTTTGGTATTTGGTACTCCATATAAATCGGGTGGGGGTAAGGCTGCATTTTTCACTGAGAAAGCGGTGGTATCCCTTAAGCATTTGATTTGTCACCAGTGATCCACTAATAAACAGGCTGCATGTATATCTGTGTTTTGTGTTTTCCTTGTGTGGATTCATGTTCTACTTTGGATGCCAAATCATAAACAGCTTTTCTGTAGAAAATAAAAATAATATATACACACACTCTCTCTCTCTTACATTTTCTGTAATGATTGAGAACGGCAGAAAAAAAATTCACAAAGTATAAGGCCAACATGTAGCACTGCAACTAATTTATTTTGTCTGCCAGTAATAGTCTTATCTTCATTGTTTCACAACACCTCGTTGCACAAAATGAATCAACATCCTCACCATGATAATTAAAAGTGGGATTTCGCACCACTGTAGCCACTTTTCGTCTGCTCGGCACAGCACTGCTAAAAAAAGAAAAAGAGAGATTAAAAAAAAAAAAAATTTTAATTTTTCATGTTGGGTGTTTAAGTTGCTGTGTGCAGTAATTGCAGAAAATTCTCTTCCAGATCCAGAACCTATCAACTTCATCAGAGGAAAATGCTCTGTTAACCAATGCTCTTGCAGCTTATAGAAGACTTCTCTCTTCTCAGCCGCCAAAAGGTATGCCTAAGGAGCATGGGTAATCAATTGCTGCTGCAAGCCTATCATATTAAATATCTGTTTAAAGGCTACATTTCCTAGAATTCTCTGTGAGCTAGCAGCTGCAAAGTAGTACAAACTGGGTGTTCAACCATCAGTCTTCAAGTTATGAAGCCTACATCAGTGTTAATTTTGTCGACTAACAATTTTAGTTGACTAAAATTTTTGAGATTTAGTCGACTAAAACAAATATGATTTAGATGACTAAAATACAGTTAAAACTTAAAGGGCATTTTAGTCAAAAGACTATAAATTGAAATGTTATGCCAAAATTAACACTGCACAGAGGGGCTGGGGAAGGGGCAAAAGAGACAGATGTTTCAACTAAATAAATTAGATTTTAATCGAGTCGACTAAAATGTACTGGAGATTTAGTCAATTTAAACTAGACTAAAACAATTCAGATGACTAAAAATACAACTAAAGCTAAAATGGCTTTTTAGTCAAAAGACTAACACTAAGTTGAAATTTGCCGCCAAAATTAACACTGGCCTACAGACTTCTAGTGTGTGGCAGATTTTCTTTAAAAAATAGTGTATCGATCATAGAATATTTGATTTGAATTTGGGATGATAAAGCAGAGAGGAAAAGAAAAACCTCCCATAGAGACAGATTTTCAAGGTCTTCATAGGGTAACATTACAGCAAATTAGTAGGTAACGCTTTGTCTAATCTTTACTGTACTATAAATGATTAATTTTATAACCTGCAAACCTGTATAAGTATATGAATAATTTAAATATATCTTGGTATGATAGTAATTTATATTAATCTATCAGGTTTTGAGAAATACTTTCCTAATGGGAAAAATGGCAAGAAATTAAATGACTCTAAAGGAACTTCAACTGAATTAAAAGGTAATTTAATACCCTTTTTTCGAGTGCTTTGTTTTTTCCCCTCCTCTTTTCTTCTTATTTTATTATTATTATTATTAGCATTTATATAAAGTCAATATATCCCATTTCACTTTACAATTTGGTAGTGGTTGATATAAACAGAGGTAACTAAATATATGAACAAGAGGTGAAGCTGGCTCTGCTCGAAGAGCTGATGATCAAGAGATTGTGAATTGGTTATGCATAAAAACTGTTGCAGTTAATGTAGCTTTTCTGGCATCTTATCTATTCGACCCCAAACTATCTGTTACTGCTCCTCTGTTATTGCCATTCTAATTTGTCCAACAAATTTGTCACTACCAGTGTACTGAGGCAGAAACATGCATGAATTATTTAACAAAATTTACAGCCATGCTCGGAGCGCTTCTTCTTGTTTGTCCCTAAAATGAAATTATAGGGTAAAAAGCCTTTATCTGGTTATTCTATTAGTATTTAGGAAAATTATACAGCGAGCAGCAGAGCTGAAGAGCACTGCTTAGCCCAAGAGAAGGTAAATTCAAGGTCATGACTTTAATAAAGACAGAGAGGCAAGTATCATGCTTATCACTTTCTTCTACTCCCAATAGCAGCAAAAAGTAAAAACAAAACTGTATAATACATTGTAATCATCATAGTATAATACTAGGGAATGCACAGTTGGAAACATCACTCGCTCTCCACCAATTATCTCTCAGCATAGTCTATAAATAAGTCTCCACAATCTAGCATCCTCTTTCATTGCTAATTATTATTTTTTCCGTAGCACTGTACAATGGGTGGACTAACAGACACATAATTGTAACCAGACAAATGGACGCACAGGAACAGGTTGAGGGCCCTGCTCAATAAGGTTACATGCTAGGGGGAGTGGGGTATAGTGACACAAAGGGTATAAGTAGGTTTAATGAAATGGGTTGCTAGAAAAGTAATCACTGGGAACTTATTTTTTTTTTTTTTTTTAATTTGACAATTTTTATTGTTTCGTGCGGTGGGGGTACAGAAAGGAAGCAGGAGGGAGGGTAGGGGGGTGGGAACTTATTTTTGACCGTTGCAGAGAGGAGTCATGGGGTGGGGGGTTGAAAACCGAGTGGAGACTGTCTGAAAGTCTAACTAGGAAGTCTTGGAGGCGAGTATCCGATGTGGGAGTACGGACAGAGGATAGACGTAGGTGTTCGGGAGAGTGCAGGGATGAACTATACCTAATCTTCAGAAGGGAACATACACTCCTCCCATCCTTTGGCAAACATTGCGTCAAACCCATCTGCTTTTAAAAAAGGGTATCATCTAAATGCTATGCAGCAGTTATGGACAGGACTAATGATGCAAAGGTACTCTATATGATAAGATGGGAAAAGGACCTTCTTATCTCGAATGGCACAAAGCAATCCAATTTACTAAGAAAGGATCCAATTGCTTGTCCCATTGGGAGGCATGTCTCAAAATGCTGATGCGTTGGTACTGAGTACCTAGTAAATTAGCAAAGATTTATGAAGACTCAAGCCCAAAATACTGGAGATTTGGTACTCTCAAACACCTACTTTGGTACGGTGAGATGATACAGGCATTCTGGGCAGATCAGTAAAGTAGCATCTGACAAATTACATGCACACATCCCCCATAAAGCTGAATGTTTTATCTAGGCAACCTTCCAGCCCAGGTTATTCTACTAAATCTTCTCACTGCAGCTAAGACCGGTATTGCCTTTCACTGGAAGAGCCCGGTAGCTCCCTCACTGGGGGAGGATACCCAAAGACTCAACTCTACTAGCCTTTATGAAAAAAATGCTTAATTTTGCAAGGAAAATATACAGTATGATAGGAAATGGGGTAGTTGGGCAAATATACAGATATAAGTGCAAGTCGGCTTCAATGTTCTTGGTGCCTACATATATGGTATCTTGGTCACACACACACAGTTACAGGCAGACTGTTACACACACACAGTTACAGGCAGACTGTTACACACACACAGTTACAGGCAGACTGTTACACACACACAGTTACAGGCAGACTGTTACACACACACAGTTACAGGCAGACTGTTACACACACACACAGTTACAGGCAGACTGTTACACACACACAGTTACAGTTAGTTATGCACGCACACACAGTTACAGTTAGACAGTTATGCACGCACACACAGTTACAGTTAGACAGTTATGCACACACACACAGTTACAGGCAGACTGTTACGCACACACACGCACACAGTTACAGGTGGACAGTTACGCGCACACACACACACACAGTTACAGGCAGACTTACACACACACAGTTACAGGCAGACTGTTACACACACACACAGTTACAGGCAGACTGTTACACACACACAGTTACAGGCAGACTGTTACACACACACACAGTTACAGGCAGACTGTTACACACACACAGTTACAGTTAGTTATGCACGCACACACAGTTACAGTTAGACAGTTATGCACGCACACACAGTTACAGTTAGACAGTTATGCACACACACACAGTTACAGGCAGACTGTTACGCACACACACGCACACAGTTACAGGTGGACAGTTACGCGCACACACACACACACAGTTACAGGCAGACTTACACACACACAGTTACAGGCAGACTGTTACACACACACACAGTTACAGGCAGACTGTTACACACACACACAGTTACAGGCAGACTGTTACACACACACACACAGTTACAGGCAGACTGTTACGCACACACACGCACACAGTTACAGGTAGACAGTTACACACAGTTACATGCAGACAGTTACACACACATGTTCATAGCTCCGCCCCCTTATTCATTCCATGCTCAATAAGGTGTAGTCAGTTCTAGGTTTGTTACATTTCTTTAAACAACTTTACTTTTGAATTTGGTATGCTCGGGTTTCTTACACTAAATTGCACTGTTTTTTTTGTCTTTGCTTTTATTGGGAGTAAAAGAAAGATATTGGCATAATATAAGCCCCTGTGTCTTGTGATAAAAACTGTTTTTGTTTATCAAATATCAGTACAATATTCCAGTATTATCTGTTTAGATGCTAAAGGCAATGGAAACCAAGCAAAGCGCAATGAAAACCAGCATTCGTCAGGAGGGGGAAGTGACTCAACTGGAGGGGGCAAGAAAGGTGGAAAAGGAGGAGGAAAGAAAGAGGACTCCACTTGGTGGACAAGACTGCAGAAGGTTTAGTTTTAATTCTCTTCTGTATTCACCTAATTGAAGAATGATTATATTACTTAGTCTATGTTCTTTGCAATGTTCGCAGTGGTAAAAGTTGCATCAGAGACAAAAAAACAAACAAATAAACAATGGTTATATTGCATAAATCTCGCCTAGTGGGTGGTCATAAACGCTTCTGCTAAAGTTGAGAAAGACATTTGATAGCAAGTTTCCCTTGCATGCACTTAATACAATTGCGATGAAAATACACACCATCTGGTAGACAGTAACATTGTGCTAGTCAGTTACCTTAACCCCTTAAGGACCAAACCTCTGGAATAAAAGGGATTCATGACATGTCACACATGTCATGTGTCCTTAAGGGGTTAAAACACAAGGTAAGTTGCTGTACATAACTTTATGACTTCCATGCCATGCACTTTGGAATGGCACTTGCACCATTTTGAGGATGGTAGCAACAAACTCTGACTTGGCTAATTGCTTAGGATCCCAAATTTGAGCCCGTCTCTGGAGCATGCTAATTTCCAAAAATTGCTACAGCTTTAATGTATTTTACAAATTTCCTTAGTTTTCTTTTCCACCTATTTTGGTTATTGCCTATGATGATCTTGCAATGTTTCCTTTTGAATAGGTTTGTGATTTTTTGGCTCTTTAGGGTGAAATACCGTGGGATGATAAGGAGTTCCGCTTTTACTTTATGGCAAGTGCCGGGTTATGGGCTGGTGTTACCTATTACATCTTCTTCAGGAAGTCTGGCAGAGAAATCACTTGGAAAGATTTTATTAATAACTACTTATCGAAAGATGTGGTGAGTCAACTGGCTGGTAATTGTAACATGTTCAGTAGGTGTCTTGTATGTGTACGCTATCTTCACCATAGAAATCATTAAAGTGTTGCATCTAAAAGAGAGGGCATAGTAATGCACGTGGTGATGATTATTATACACGTGTGCAAAAATTAGCATTTTTTTTTTTTTTTTTAGTTCAAACGACTTTTATTTGTGTCATCGAAAATGTACAGTGCAATGGGATAGCAAAATAGGAGACACGCAGATCTCGCAAAATCGGGAACCGCAATATGATTATAAATGAATGTAAACCTAAACAATATTAACAGTTAGAAGGTATTACAGTATCAGTACATGCATTCAATATGCAGACGTCTGCATCTTATGGTCGTACATTAAGGGGTGAGTGTGTCACCTCTGGGTGAGCCAGGTATTGACTGTGTAGTACGTGGCCAAGATTTGTCTGTTATCATAATGATTGCATATAGCCTAGGAGTATCTTCTAGGCAGGTAGGGGCCACTATAGCGTCTGTGGTATAGCTAACCTGAAAGTTTAATTCGAAGGGGGGCTCATCGTCCCATATAATATTGATAGATAGTGGGTTTCCATTGGGTCTTATTACCTTTGACCGCGTACACCTCGCGCAGGTCCTGTTTTGACGTACGGGTGATATGATCAGTTGGGTCAGTCTAGAGTAGTGGGCGGTAGCAAGTTAGCGGAGCATCCGTATAACACCTGAGGCCCAAGCCTGCCATACCCTCCTGTTTGGCTGTGGTTGAGACTAGTGCGCAGTGAGGTCAGACTCTTGCGCAAGGGCAGGGAAAGAGAGCAAGTGGTGTAGAAAGGAGAACATGAAGACAGAGGAGGATGGGGAAGAGAGAGGAAAGATTTAAAAAGGGGGATCCCGAGGAGCACCAGCGTTGTGCCTGTGGTATTCTTGGATCCGTGGTGTTCCGTGCAGTTCGGCGTCACCAGCTCTGGGGCGCGGTTGGAGGGGGGAGGAGAGGGGTATCCCTCATAGGCCACGTAGGCCAGCCATGGCCGCCACCTCTCAACAGGTTTCTCCTCCATACCTATCAACGAGGCGTGTATCGATTCCGCCCGTTACATCCATAGTCCAATCGTCGGGGTTACATCTTGCTTCCAGTGCAGCGGAATCAACGCCTTGGCGGCGTTCAGCAGGTGTCGGAGTATGGATTTTCTATATACCCCGATGGTGTCTGTTGTAGAGTGTAGGAGAGCTACCTCTCTGTCGAATCTGCCGTCCGTCCCCAGTATTTCCTCCGTTCGTCGTTTGACCTCGTCCAAAACAGTGTAATGCGTGGGCATTCCCACCAGATATGTAAGAACATTCCTCGTCCGTCTCTGCATCTCCAGCATGTGTCGGGTACCGCCTGGAAGATTCTGTGCAGGCTATCGGGTGTTCTGTACCAGAACGATAGGAGCTTATAATTGGTTTCCTGATAGTTGGATCTTTTCCCATTGAGTTGCGGTGAATGATGTACCTAGAATGCGTTCCCAGCGTCGGCGAAAGGTGTCCGCGTTCTCCAGGTGACCTACAAGGAGGTGTTGGTAATGTTGACTTGGCTAGGTTGTTCCTTCACAGTGCCTTAAAGGCAGGTCCCTATGTAGGGCTTCTCTGTGCTATAGTGTTTGGTAGAAATATTTAATTTGTGTGTAGCGGAAGATTTGCATTGTGGGTGGTTGGTCGTTGTCTATGAATTCCCATAGTGGTAGTATGCCTGTGTTATTTAGCATCTTTATAGATGGGGAGGGATTCTCCACCATCTAAAATACTCCAAGATGTCGGCGATAGCCCACCTCCCATCTGGGGGTTATATGGTAGCTGTTGGAGACAGCTGTGGAATTCTTCTGATGCTGTCCCACGTTTTTAGCGTCTGTGCCACAGTGGAGGTGCAGTCTAGGGCATCAGCGGGGTCTCTTCAAGTTCCATACTGTAGTGAGAAGTGACGACCCCATGTGGTTATCTAGTTCAATCCATTGTTTGTGTGCTGGGTGAGTATGCCATTCGAAGACCCGTTGTAGCACTGTAGCATGATGGTATTTGCGGAGATCCGGGAGTGCTGTTCCACCCCATGCTCGTGGCAGGCATAGGATTTCTTGTCTGAGTCTCGCCTGTCCCCCACTCCACACGAATCGTATCATAGCGGTCCGAAGCGATTGAAAGTATGCTGTCGGTAGGGCTAGAGGTATTGTTTGGTAGAGGTATAGGATCCGGGGCAGTATGTTCATTTTCAGGATCACTAAACGGCCGAACCACGAAATATATGGGTATGACCACGTCTGTAAGTCTCGCTGTATTTTTTTGTAGCAAGGGTAGGAAGTTCGTCCGATACATGTCTCCCAGATCCCTGTTAAGTGCTATGCCCAGATATTGCATGTGGGTCGGGCACAATCTGAATGGGAATTGGTGCTTTAGTATGTCGACTTGTGTTGGTGAGGTCGAAATGTTAAGTACCTCACATTTGGGTATGTTCAGTTTAAATCCCGATATATCTCCCCATAGGTCTCAAATGTTGACATCAAGTGTGGTAGGGTGGTATCAGGTTTGTTTATAACAAATAAAAGATTGTCTGTCTGCATACGCCACTACTTTGTGGGTAGTGCCCTTGTCGGAGAATCCTAGAATCTCATCTGATCTGCGCACTACCTCCAGGAATGGTTTGAGGGTGAGGGCGAAGAGCATAGGGGAGAGCAGACATCCCTGCCGCGTTCCGTTCCGGATCGGAAAGGGTTTGGTGAGTGCACCGTTCACTCTTACTTTGGCACTTGGGCAATGATATAGCACTCCTATCCACTTAATTATGTTCTCCCCGAAGCCCATCTACCACAGCGTAGCCATAAGGAACGACCAGTTTACCCGGTCGAATGATTTCTCAGCATCTGTGGAGAGTAATAGGAGGTTGTCTTTCGACCGCTTCGCCAGGTGTTGGATGGATTGGACCCTAAGAGTGCTATCCCTGGCCTCACGTCCGGGTATGAATCCCGTCTGATCTGGGTGGACCAGTTTCGGCATTAGGCCTCCGATCCTGGTGGATAATATCTTGGTCAGTAGTTTTACATCCACATTGAGTTGGGAGATCGGTCTATAGCTGCTGCATAATTCGGGGTCTTTCCCTGGCTTCAGGAGAACCGTGATTGTAGCTGCCAGTGACTCCTGGTGGAATTGAGCGTCCTCGATGAGAGCGTTGAATGCATTGGTAAGTTTTGGGATTAAGATGTGTTGGAATTTCTTATAATATTCTAGAGTGAAGCCGTCAGGGCCCGGCGCTCGATCTGTTTTAGCTGCTTTGATCGCTCCCTCAGCCTCCGCCTCTGTTATCGGTACCTCCAAGTCCTCTGATTCCCCTCGTTGCAGTCTTGTCCCCACGTAGGTTTCAATGTAGTTCCGCATTTTTTCGTTCCTATCCGCTATCTCATTTGGTTGTCGGTTGCGGGATATTATATAGTGAGTAGTAGAATGTTTGAAATTTCGAGGCGATCTTATCCGGAAATTGAGTGATTGTGCCATCAGCTTGCCGTAGTCTGTTGACCTGGGCTAGTCCCTGAGGGCCTTTAATCATCCTGGCCAGTAGCCTCCCACCTTTGTTAGCATGTTGATAAAAGAAGGCCTTCGAGCATTGCAATGAACGGTAGTGACGGGTCGTCATATGTGTTTGAAGCTGTCTCCGGGCTTCCAGTAGCTCTGCGTATGTCGACTCGAGGTGTGATCTTTTATGCTGTGTCTCGAGTGTAGATATGCGTTACACCTGGCCGGTTATTTGTCGTCCAGATTCTTTTCTCTTTTTGGAAGCCAGGTGCATCAGTGTGCCTCTAATAACGCCTTTATGTGCCTCCCAGATCGTGGTTGCGATGTGGTCTTCTGGTGCGTTAAGCGTAATATGAATTGAGTTCTTCGGAGATCTGTTCCCTTACTGTTAGGTCAAGCAGTAGCGAGTCTTGGAGCCTCCATGCCCACAAGGTTGGGCGCATCCTTGGGGAATCTATATCTTCAGAATGACTGGTCCATGGTCGGACCATTGTGCAGCTCCTATCTCCGCTGTTTGAATTGTCGTTAATTGTTCTTGTTGCATAAATATATCATCTATTCTCGAGTAGCGTTTGTGGATCGTGGAGTAGTGGGTGTATTCCCTGTCGTCGGGATGCATTGCGCGCCAGCAAAACACCAGTCAAAGGTTCCGTAAGGATTTCAGTATATTTCGGAGAACACCTTGAGTTATGCAGCTGTGTCCCGTAGACGAGTCGGTGAGAGGGTGTAGTGGTACGTTGAAATCTCTGCCTAGGATCAAGGTTCCTTCTGTAATGGAGGAGAGCCTGAGGAGGGTTTTGCGTATGTATTGGGTTTGGTTATTGTTTGGGACGTAGATTGTTGCGGAAGTGTATCGTCTATCTTGAATATCTCCTTTAAGGAAGAGGTACCTGCCATTTGCATCCGACAGTCTGTCTGCTTCGCGGACTTGTAGCTTCGCCTCTAGGAGGGTAGCTACCTCCGCCCTGCGGGCTGTTGGATGGTTACTACAGGCGGTATTGGGACAGTGCTTACTTTTCCCAACAGCGTTCTAGGGTCTTGGAATTCTAATTCCACTGCCTGGGTATTTAGTTCTCATCTACAGTACCTTAAAGGTCTGCATTCTTTTGGTTTTTTTCTTATCTAACACCTATCTCCACTGAAGCTCCTTCGATCACAGTTATGTTCAGATCGGGTGCCTGAGGGCTTCTGCTATACATACTCTTGAATTCCTAACAGCCACGAGGTTATCTCTTCACTCCTTTTGGTCTGTTGACCTTGGAAGATACAACTTTGGTCGCAGGTTTTTTGCAGTGAGATTTGAGTCCATTGCTTTTGGATATCCCAGTTGTAAAGCACTGCCTCTAATCTGAAGGGAAAACCAAACATTTTTACTTACCGTAAATTTCTTTTTCCAGAAGATTAGAGGCAGTGCTCCCTTCCCTCCTCCCCCACCTTCTCCCTCCCCTCAAATTTGTTCATAGTCTGAGTGGTACGGTTATTCGGCTTTTGTAATTTCTGGGGATGTCTTTGGTAGGAAGCAATTTATGTTTTTTTTTTTGTTTTTTTTTGTTTGTTTTTTTTTATTTGAAAATTATAACTTGGTTTATTGTGCAAAAAATATCAGAGGATCGACGTTTCGACCTCTAAAAGGTCTTTCTCAAGATCAGAAAATTGCAAACTATAGCCGTGTGAGCATATACATAAATCGAATAAAAACTTATCAATAATGTGAAGTAAATCAAATAAAAACTACAAGATTCTAAATGGTGACAATATACATATTATCAGGGGCATTGCTAACTTCCCAAAGAAAAACTCCATAACCCTACACTAAAATTCTGTGTAAACTTTGCCAACTATGCAAGCCATGATATCACAAGAAATAGCCGGAAACAAGAACATAGTGAATTGTCAGGTATTCATTACAGTTCTGCCTAAACACTCTACATAAGCAATGAAAAGTGGTACAGTGCAGTTTCGCAGCCCAGCCCCCCTCCCCCAATATCTGTCACCTGGGTGCTATTATTCTATCCCCTTTATTAATGTGGAGAAGCTCTTTTTGAGTTGGTTTCTCCTTTAAAATAATCTAAAATGGCCACAAAAAAAAATCTTTTCTTTCTAGATTATTCAGTTTTAACAATGTTGTATATTACTTGCATTTCCCCTTTTATAATGTTTTATATAGTGAATAAATAATTGTGAGTAATGTCACTTTAGCGTTTCCTTTTTTTTTTGTTTTTGTTTAGGTAGATCGTCTTGAGGTGGTGAATAAACGTTTTGTAAGAGTCGTCTTTACACCAGGAAAAACGCCTGTTGATGGGGTAATGTTACTTCTTTATATTTTTATTTTTTTTTAAACTTAAAGGAACACTATAGTGTTAGGAGTACAAAACTGTATTTCAAACACTATGGTGTCAGTTTGCCTCTGCGCATGTGTGGCGAGCATTGCACATGTATAAGGGCTTCCCCATAGGAAAACATTGACTCAATGCTTTCCTATTGTGATTTGTTATATGCTGGATATCCTCATGCAAAGGGGGGGTCAGGAGAAGGGTACACAGCACAGAGTAGTGTTTTTAAAAAGAAATTAAAAAGGGGGTTAAGCCTCCAGTAGTCTTGAGTATTGCTCCAGGAGCAACAATCTTCAAAAGCTGAAGGGTTTCTGGACAAGAGAACACCTGGATCCAGGGGGACAAAACCTCCAGGTCTGCATTGTCATGAGTAGTCACAGTCAGTTTGTCCAAGTCGTCAGATTTGAATAATTGTTAGCTTGATACCTAGCAATACATTGATTAAATCAAAACATCAGGAGGATAGGTTCTTTAGAAAAGTTTAGTATCATCATACAAAATGTATGCAACATATAAAATCCAGCGCACTTGTTCATTCACTAAACAGCAATTTCAAGTCTACCAGAAAGTAATGGTTTTATTTAAAAATGCCTTACCTAGGCAAAAAATTATGGGGGGGTTTAGTTACAATACATGATCATACATTGCATAAGCCTGTTACAACATCAATGTACTCCATTCTTGGCAGGTTCTACTCTAACAGCCTAATGCCTGCTCTTGTGAGATTAATCCACTTATTTGGGAAATTCTTCCTCATGATACTCTCTGCAGGTCAAGGCTAAATAGATCATTTATTGTAACTAAACCCCCATTATATTTTTGCCTAGGTGAGGTGTTTTTAAATAAAACTATTACAATCTGTGAGATTTTACATCATTGTTTAGTGAATAAGCGAGTGCGCTGGATTGTGCATTTTGTATGTTGCATCTATTGGCCCCAGCAGCACCCTATAATGTATGCATGTTCACTGAGTGCAGCCCTCTTGGTTTTATATTTAAATATTTTTTGTGGGTTTTATATTTATATAGTTTGTGGGGTTTTTTGGGGGGCGGGGTTGTATATTATATGCAAAGCTAAAAAGATTGAAAAGGTACAATTTTGTGCAGTCATAATCGTAAATTGCATAGCTGAATCTGTGGAGTGTTATAGAATGAACAGATGAATAACTAATGCATTCATTTTGTAAAGCAGATTTGTACATTTCTCGTATTCTGAATTCCCTAGTTTAAAGAGCATCTGAAAATAAAAAGTATTAAGTATGTAATGGATATCTCCTTCCTTTTTTTTTTTTTTTTTAAAGTCAGCATTCATATTCTACCTATTTAGAAGAAAAAATATGCAAAATACACAATGATATAATTAAAAGCTTGCATAGTATGCGATCAGTCTGTCGGCACCAATTTTATTGACTCAGTTTATCCAGTGTTTTTTGCACTTTCTTTCTCTAACCCTTTTAATGTTTTGTTTTTTCTTGCATTGCACTGAATGTGATCACCAAGAACTCTGTCTAGTTAGATGGGAACAGTTCATGATATTTTCCACTCTTGTGTTTTTATTTTTTTTTATTTTATAGCAATATGTCTGGTTTAATATTGGCAGTGTGGACACCTTTGAGAGGAATTTGGAAACTGTGCAGCAAGAGCTTGGTATAGAGGGGGAGAACAGATTGCCTGTAGTGTATGCAGCTGAAAGTGATGGGTAAGATTAATTGTATTATTCCAGATACAGCAATCAGGCTCCCGTTATCTGCTTGTGTTGCACATTGTGTGATTTTCAAAGTTTTGTTTGTTTTCAGAAAATAACCTGTCAACATATAGAAATCGTTCTTTGTGAAAATATAGGAGTTTGCCCTTCCTTCCTTTTCATTGTAACTCTTGCAGCATATCTCCTTAAAGGACTGCTCTAGGCACCCAGACCACTTCAGCTTAATGAAGTGGTCTGGGTGCCAGGTCAAGCTAGGGTTAACCCATTTTCTAATAAACATAGCAGTTTCAGAGAAACTGCTATGTTTATTAATGGGTTAAGCCTTCCCCCAAAGCCTCTAGTGGCTGTCTCATTGACAGCCACTAGAGGCGCTTGCGTGCTTCTCTCTGTGATTTTCACAGTGAGAGCACGCCAGCGTCCATAGGAAAGTATTGTAAATGCTTTCCTATGCGACCGGCTGAATGCGTGCGCATTCAGCTGACGGGGCGGAACGGAGGAGGAGAGGAGGAGGAGAGCTCTCCACCCAGCGCTGGAAAAAGGTAAGTTTAAACCCCTTTCCCCTTTCCAGAGCCGGGCGGGTGGGGGCGCCCTCAGGGCACTATAGTGCCAGGAAAACGAGTATGTTTTCCTGGCACTATAGTGGTCCTTTAAGGACCAAACTTCTGGAATAAAATGGAATCATGACATGTCACACATGTCATGTGTCCTTAACCTCTTAAGGACCAAACTTCTGGAATAAAAGGGAATCCTGACATGTCATACATGTCATGTGTCCTTAAGGGGATATAGTCACTGGTTTGTCTGTTAATCTATCTGTCTCATTCCATCATTGTTCGTTTATGTAGCCGGCCTGTCAGGCATGGCCAATGAAGTCACACAACTTTTTATACAAAGCTTACTATTTAAAAAGTTTAATTTTTGAAAGCAAACGGTCGCATGTGTCTGGAGCTCCGGACTGCAAGGCTGATAAACACCCTATTTTCTGATACCCAGACCGGACCAAAAGGGCCCGACAGCTCTCCTGGGAGCCCTGAATCCAGATGGGGAAAAAAACGAAAAAAGCAAGACAAGAAGCGCCCCGAATGGTCATGAACATAGGAGACATGTGGCGGCAGGCTCGTGGCGCTCAAGGGCCTGGGATGGCGGCCATTGCTGGGGATTGCTCAGACCTCTCGGACGACTTTTCTTGTGGAACCGATGAGGGATACACACCAGCTACGGCGCTTCCCCCGCCGCGGATCCCGACAACACAGCCAGACCCCGCTCCAGTGACGGCCGCACTCTTGAAAGAACTGCTGACGGATTTACAAAAGAACCTCCAGGCAGACATGGCCACGATACGCCAAGACTTGAAAGGCCTGACTGGCAGGATAGGAGCCCTGGAAACCACCTCACTCTCAGCCAAACAGCAGATCACCACCCTCCAGCAGGAGGTCCGAGACCTGCGAAAACTAAACAGCTCATATGAAAGGCGCTTTGCAGCCCTTGAAGACTCCCGCCGTCGGAACAACATCAAGGTCAGGGGGGTCCCCGACAACGTACCCGAAGCGGAGCTCCCGCACGTGGTAAGGAGACTACTTTCTGCCCTGCTCACGCCCAAACTGTCCAAAACACTAATTCGTTAAAGGGAGATACAAAGCAACCCTCCTAAATGCACTGTGCGGCAACTCACCTTACTCCTTCGAAGGCATGGACCTAACCTTTTATGCAGATTTGACTCTCTGCAGGACTTCCTAGCCTGTGAACATAGTAACGTAAGCTTGAACAACTAGCCTGCAATGTTCTCTATCACCATTGTTCCCTGTCTTACGCTAATCCAGTTTCTTATGTTTATCAACAATCAACCTAGATATAACTCATTGTTAAGCGTTTAAAAATTTTAAAAAATGTGCAAAGTTTTTTCCACTGCCTAACTAACGTAAACCTTTGTTCAACTCGGCATCCTCTGGCTATTGTGGCACGGTGTGCTATATGTGAACTTCCATGCACAAATAAAATAAAGAATAAAAAAAATTTAATTTGGTGTGTTAGTGTGCTGTGTAAAAGAAGAAAGCTCCTTATACAAATTAACCCATTGGAGTAGGAATAAAATAGTCTAGAACTTATTTATGTAATTGTTAAACTCTGTCACTCTTGTTTCATAGGTTGAATTAGTTGTTGGCTGTTTAATCACAATGCTGTATTGTGTCTAAGATGCAGTCACATAAAAAGTTGTGACAATGTCCTTGTAACCCAGCTTTGGTTACCACGATGATCCACAGTATTGCTGACTTTGCGTTCCGCTAAGATGACCTAAGCTTTACATGGCAATTTTCTTTTCGAGCTGCTTGCTAGTGTTTATGCACTAGAGCAAACTTATACATCCACAATATGTTCTGGTACACATGAGGACATATCAAACGTATCCATCCACGATATATATTGGTATTGTAAACAAATATCAGGAACTGATGACGTTACACATTAATCAAAATTCTGTGTTGGTGTCTCAGCTTTGACATTGTGGACTAATGCATTAAGTTTCCACTATGTCAGGTCTGGTCAATGCATTTAATGTTCTGCTAAAATTAATATGTGTGGCTCCATACCGGCCTTCATCCTGTTATTCTTTTTACTGGAGATTTATCATCCATTGCCTAATGCTGTCCCTGTCCTTTTGGTTAATTGTTGAGACATACCTTCATTACAATATGAGTGAGACAAGGTTCTCGTACAGTGGAGACTGCTTTCGGAGGACATGACACAATCTGGAACTTGTTCTTTTCCTTTTTTTTATTTTTATTTTCTTTCATAGTGCAAACAATTGCATTCCACTGACCAACCAACACCCTTTAGAAGTGGTCTACTGTTTGACCTAACCATTTTGTTTTCTGAATGTGCAACATAATACATTTTTTTTTTCCAATGTCTTGTTTTGGTTTTTTAAGATAGTTTAGTTTGAACAGAAATAAAGATCATAGAACATAACAGCTTTCATAATACAGTGCAAAAGTACGATACATTTTTTCATAAATCGGTTGAAGATTGCAGGGTTATGCAACATTACATATGGGATTCAACACAGTGTGGTGAAATGTACTCTTGTACAGTTGTTGGCATTCAGAATACATATGTGGAGGAGACATTGTTATTATACAACACACAGAACTACTACATGAAAAAATGTAAAATGTGCTAGACATGCTTCACTCGGTGAGGCTTGTTATGTCCCAGCTCATGTGGGATCCAAAATGGATGCTTAAGATGTAAATAGTGGTATCATCACCAACATGCACTGTATTGGTCCACTCGTTCCGCCACTTGCAGTAGAGACAAGCAACAAAACAATTCCTAAAGCGATTAGGAGAGAGAAGTGAGAGAGGAGAAAAAGGAAAGAAGAAAGTAAGAGAAGGTTACCCATGGTCCAGATATAAGGTATCAGGATTTCCATGCCTCTTATAATTACATCAATCACTATATGTCACTTGTGGTAATACCCAAAGTATAACACATATATACATATCATCATTTTATCGTTTGCTACTGTGTGTGTGTGTGTGTGTGTGTGTGTTAATAATGCTCATAAGGAGAGTTAGGAATGATACTTTGTCCAACTCTTCCAATGTTTACAGTGAGCACCTTCCTTGCCTCTTAGTTTATAAGCCAGTTTTTCAAGGTGATATGTAGAATCAACATAATAAATTTTTCCTAATTCTATTTGTCTTCTGTATTTGATTATAAGTTGTCTTTTTTTTTAATTTTTTTTTTTTTATTCTAGCTCCTTCCTTCTAAGCATGCTTCCTACTGTCCTCATTATTGGTTTTCTCCTGTACACTGTGAGACGTGGTCCAGCTGGCGGAAGGCCTGGTCGTGGAATGGGTGGTCTCTTCAGTGTTGGAGAAACAACTGCCAAAGTACTCAAGGATGAAATTGATGTGAAGTTCAAGGATGTGGCTGGATGTGAAGAGGCAAAACTGGAAATTATGGAATTTGTTAATTTCCTCAAAAATCCAAAGCAGTATCAAGATTTAGGTGCCAAAATCCCCAAGGTAAATGTTGACTATTCAGTACTATGATAAAATATTAAAACTCTTCTTGGGATTACTGCATGCACTGTTCTAAATGGGTTACTAATAGTTATTGCTAAAATTAAATGGACTGATTTTCATTGAACAAAGCCAGTTTTCTAAATATGTGTAAGCTGTTTAATTTCCAGTTGAACATAGACCTTGTGGTTTTTCAAATTGTAACATGGTTATGTGAAATGAAAGTGCTAGTTCAACAAATGCGTATTGTTGGGTGTTATCCCATGAAATCTATTTGACACTTGATATTATCCTGTCTCACTGATATGTCAGTAAGAGAATTACACTTCCTCTGTCTTTATTAAAGCAGTAACCAGGCATTATTACAGTTCTATAGGTCTGACCTATATGGAAATCATGGGAGACCATATGCAGGGCAAAAGTGATCAAATTCAAGATAGATAGCATGGCTTTATTGTGGGATTTGGTTTATTCTTGAGCAGGATGATAACTCTGTATAGGCTTCTAAACTTTGTGTGTTAATCTTACTGCCCACTAAACAGTGTTTCTTCTTGTGATTCTGCTTAATCATATCCTAGACTTGCTTTTGTAAAGAAGTTTTAATTTGTGAAATGTATTACTGCTGTCTTGAATAGAAGCTGCATGTCAAATACTAATAATACTAATAATGCAATTATTAACACTAATGTTAGCAGCAGCAGCAGCAGCGAATAACGTGGCACTAGGGTGATATTCTGAATATTTACTACCTCTTATCCCCCCAAACTCACTCTGCTTCCTTAGAGGTTTAATTTAAATAAAATAATTTGTCGTATGTGGCTTACAATGTCTTCAAAGACATTTTAGATTTTTTTCACATTGTAACAGTCTTGCTATTCTTTAATTTTGTGTATTTATTATTTACTTATTGTTTTCAAGGGTGCTATTTTGACTGGTCCTCCTGGCACTGGAAAAACACTTCTGGCAAAAGCGACAGCAGGAGAAGCCAATGTCCCTTTTATTACAGTCAACGGTTCTGAGTTTCTAGAGATGTTTGTTGGTGTTGGTCCAGCAAGGGTAAGTTGATGAATGCAAGGACCCCCCTCGGCGCTCTGTTAATGTCTGAAGGTGGGAAAGGACTTGGCAGAAGTTCACTCGTCAATAACATATATTTATCTGTAAATGAAAAACAAGGGTCACTGTTTCCTCCTGGGGATAACATGGCTCTTTATTTATTGCTTGGGTATAAGATGTGAACCTTTTTCACTTTTCCCTGTTGGTATAATACCTCCCACAAAAGCCAAATACCCCTACGCATAGTCAACTTGTTATATGTTCTAGAATACTGTTTAAATGTTACTACGATCACCACTATTATATTTCATTCTGTTCATTTCGCATGGTTAGGGAAACATTCGTATGCCTCTACATTGTACCAACTTGTTCTGTGTTCAAGACAACTGTATAATTGTCACTACTGTTATTACTATTCCGTATACCCTACTTCTTTTTTTACTGTTGTAACACTTTTGAAAAAGACACATGCCTCTACATGACACCGCTCTATTTTAAGCTCAAGATTATTGTTTAAATGAAACTACTGTTACCACTTTTCTTACTGTTTTGTCAACACTGTCTATTTCAAAAAATAAAAATAATAAATAATGTTTAAAAAAAACAAAAACTCCAAGAACAAAAAATGGACAGTGGAGTGTTCCTTTTAATTTATAATAAATATAAGGTCAAGTGGACTAGAGTGCATGACTGGTCTTTATTAAAGTTTAAAACCAACAGAGAGAAGAAGGAAGGGAAACGGATTAAGGAAAGTGTAGTGAGAAGTGAAGTGAGAGGAAGGGAAGAGATGATGGTGAGTTATAGAGAAAGGGTGGGGAGATCCAATATATTATTGGAGAAAGGGTAAAACAAAACTGTATTTTTGTCCATGTATTCATGTTGTTTTGGTATTAGTATCACAAGTAGTAAAAAACTTATAATCATTCTTGTCTTTTATTCTAGGTGCGTGATTTATTTGTCATGGCTAGAAAAAATGCCCCTTGCATTCTTTTTATTGATGAAATCGATGCAGTTGGTAGGAAGAGAGGACGTGGAAACTTTGGAGGGCAAAGTGAGCAGGAAAACACTCTCAACCAACTTCTGGTAGAAATGGATGGTAATTTTTCTATTACTCTTTTTCCTATTTCACTCAGTGAAATATTATCTCTAAACTCTTAAGTGCCCTTAAAAAAATTTTCTCGAGTCTTATTATATCTATGGTAGTCGTATCTTGATAGACTTTACTTTATCTCCTCCTATATTAACCTCCGTTACCGCCACAGTACTGTAAGTATCCCTGAAAAGCTGAATACCAACATCAAGGCTTACAACTGACCTACTCTCCTAGCCAGACTTTAACGGTTACAAGTCACTGCAAGCCTGCAGCGTGCATGGCACATTTACCAGGACTAGATTTTCACCTACCAATGTGGCAAATGGTAATTTTGAAAAAGATTAACCATGGGTGTTTGTGGATGACTTGCCTACTTTAATGCATGGAGGTTCAATTTCATTCTATTGGGATTAACTAAATTGAAAATGATGAATTGTTAATATTCTAGAGTTGGTTTTTTGTTTTTGTTTTTTCTTTTCTATCTTATTAAAACATATAGTACAGCGGGTTGAGCGACCATCGAGCTATTCAGTCATGCTACACTTCAGCCTACAAGACACTAAAAAATCACAAAAAATTAAGTACTATTCTTTCAGTTAAGATACTTGGCAACATAAAGACTACTATGGGCAAGAGAAACAAGAAGCTGAAGCAGTCTGTTAATGGAGGCACCAGAGATATCGGTGACCTGCTCTCTTGTGCAGGTAGCCCTAAGATGGATCCCGCAGAGGATCTCCGCTTCCACTTCTCACCACATTTGGACGCACTAGATATGTTTCTGCCTACACCAGACTACAAAGGGGACATCCAAGAACTCTTCTCCAACATAAAGCGTTTGTTCGGTGCTGACTTGATAATAAAAAGTAGGGAAATACCCTGACGGGGCACATTAAGTCCACAAAGGAGGATGCATCGGACCTGCGGCTAAAGCAGGCCCAGCATGATACATCTCTAACCACTATTCAAAAACCGCACCAGGCCAAGTCAAGGCCATATGGATTCTCTGGAGACAGTGTTAGGTACTCAAACCTCAAGATAGGAGGTCACTGCTGAGGAACCTCCTCAACATGTAAGGTGTTTGATTCTCACTATACTGCCTCCTAAGAAAACCAAAGCTTTAAACATTGATATAATGTATCACAATGCTAAATCACCTGCAGCCCCATCTAATGTTCCACATGATGTCATTATCTTTGCCACTTTCAAAGATAAAAACAAAGTTATGGCTTTGTTAAGGGAGAAAACTCTGTATGCATTTGAGTTATCTAGTCTAACTTTCCTGCTTGAATGCTGTTCCACACTTCACTTTAGACAAAACTCAAAACGGTTATCCAACCCAACTCCTACAAGCAACATGAATCTGCTACTCTCGGGGGACCCCTAGAACCCTGCTGGGGGAACTTAAGAGCATTACTCGCCATGTACAGACACTTTAATCTGCAGATCTTTTCTTGCATCAGCTGGACTTTCTTATCCACCAAAATGTTCTCAAGGATTAACCTGGCACCCTGACATATAACGTGGACCCCATAGTCCCCTTTATGAAAATGAATGGACATTCCTGAAGAAGCTTCAGTGGGTTACCCCCAATCATGGTTTTTATGCCAATGAGTTTTATGGATCCTGGATTTACCCCTTAAAGTTGGTTTTTCTATACCCCTGACCGTAGTGGTATCTGTTCAAAATTGAACTTAGTTTTGTTATAATGTGTTTATAATGTGTTTTCTTATAAAATGTTTACCTGTGCATATTTTTTGTGATATGTTTCAGACAGAAAAGAATTTAAAAAAAAAAAATGCTGTAAATTAATGACGGTTTTGTGTTTATGTAAATAAACCTGCTCATGAGATGTCTCTAATCTTTTATTGTTCAATAGGGTTTAACACCACAACAAATGTAGTTGTATTAGCTGGAACAAACAGGCCAGATATTCTAGATCCTGCCCTGATGCGTCCTGGGCGATTTGACAGGCAGATCTACATAGGTAAGTTGCATGTTTTTGATCAGGTATTACAAATAATATTATAAAAGTGCAAAATGAATAGTATTGTTTCTCATTAAAGGTCCACCTGATATAAAAGGCAGAGCATCTATATTCAAGGTTCACCTTCGGCCTTTGAGAATGGAAAGCACCATAGACAAAGATAGCTTGGCTAGAAAAATGGCAGCATTAACACCAGGATTCTCGGGTAAGAATGTTGTGTATTGTTATATAATGAAAATGAGAACATATTGAGGATATAAAAGGGACAAAATTCTTTAAATACATAGTGATTTTTCAAACTTTTATAGTTGATTGAGATTTTTTTAAAGTGGAACGAAAAGCAAGTGAACAAAAGGGGGATTTCAAATTTAAGCTGGAAAGATTCTTGAAGTAAACTATGGTTCCAGTTTTGCCTTTTTGGCCTTTATTTTTTAAATTCACTTCCTGACAATTGAAGTCCACAGTGAAATTACCTTATGACCTTTCCCTTTTCTTATCTCTCATTATAACAAGCTCTTGCAATTCAAATGATATCTAATTGCAAGAGCTTGTTATAATGACATCTTTTGAATGAGAAGAAACCTGCAGCAGGTGGTAGCTGTGAAGAATGTCTCCTACATAGATTGGGCTGAGAGGTGTAGTTTGACTCTCCATATCTTGCCTGTTTAAATTGTACATAATTCCCACAAAATTAAATGAAAAGGCATCTTGCACTTCTATACTCCGTCAAAATAAGAAAACATAACCTCTATAATTTAACTTAAAGACACGTGATTGTTATACATTTTTTTTTTTTTTTTTTTTAAATTCACATTTTATTGAAAATTTCAAAGTGTATATAAACACCATATAACTGAAAATAAAAGCGGTTACAATTGAGAATGCTCTTTAAAGTAAGAGTGTCTGCAGTTACTAGAGATGCCTTGGTCTGCTTCTGATCACGTCGGTTATTTTTTTTATCTACTGGATAGCCAGCTTACATAAATTAGAAATCATATAATCAGTAATGTAACAATTTACCCTTTATTTTTTTTATTTAAAAAAAAAAAAAAAAAAAATGAAATCCTCTTGCCCAAGGAAATGCATTGAAATGATACACAGTGGGAGTGATTTACAAACTAGAAATGAAAACTAAATTGCAGAATTCAGTTGTGACTACCACTTGTTAGAACGTTTTTGTCCGTTATTTTGGTCTACATATCTGTAAAGTTCACTGTTTAGTAAATAAACCTCCGTTTTCCATATGCTTGTTAATGAAATACATATTATTTGTTCCTACAAAGACCCCTGCATGAATTTCATTGCTGTATATGTGAACTAAGACTCTTGTGAGATTTTACTACTATGTTATAACTTAATATAATTTGCATTTTTATTGCATGTGTGGTTTTTGTTTGGGGGAGGGGGAGGGGAGAGGAGGGTGATTGTTTTTTTTTTTTTTTTTTTTTTTTTTTTTTTTTTTTTCCCCAAAGCCATATGACCTTGAAATCATAACTGAATCTGGAATATGAGTCATACTATTGTTCACTGCTCAGGTGCAGATATTGCGAACGTGTGTAATGAAGCTGCCCTAATTGCTGCAAGACACCTTTCTGATGCCATAAACCAAAAGCACTTTGAACAAGCCATTGAAAGGGTTATAGGAGGTAAGAATTCTACACCTGTAGTAAAGGAACTTGCAATGGAAGCGTATTGAAATGAATGTGACTCTCTTTGACTATTCTGCTAGGCAGGCTTAGTGAATTTTTTTTCAAAAAATTAAAGACTTTAAATTTAGAATTATAAATAAAAATGGAAATTACTCTTTTCTCCATAAAGAATGTCTTGCGTTAAAAATGTTGTTTTTGGAAGAATCTGGGAAGAGTTTAATTAGAATCTTAGTAAGGAGGGATTTTCTGGTAATCTCTCAGCATTTTTGCAATTATAACTCCTTAATCACCAGTCATTTAATTGAAAGAGAGATTGGTTATCCACTGGATAAATCATGTATAAACGCTCATCTATTACAACCTGGCATGCATGATACCAGGAAGAACAAAGAGCTGTGTTTGATAAAATTATTTTAACATATTATTGAAGAGGTAATACAATACAATATTCAACTGGAACAAAAGAGGCCTTTCTATTATAATTCTGGAGAGAGCCTTTGTTATTCTTCAGTTTAGAATATAGCGCTAAAGGGAAACTATAAGCTAGTATTACAAAATTTGTATTCCTAGCACTATAGTGCCCCTTTGCTTGCGCCCCCACAGCGCAGAAAGTATTAAAAACCCTTAATTCACTTACCTAAATACAGTGCTGATGGCTCTCGGAGCTGGGTCAAGCTCCTCCTCCCCCCGATGGGGAGTTAATGCTCACGCGAGCAGAGTGCCACGATCGTATTAAGACATTCCCATAAGAAAGCATTGAATAAAAGTGATGACATCTAGCGTCAGGTGACTAAAAGTCACCTAACAACCCAGAAGCGCATTTATTGGCTGTCTGGCAGACCGCAACTGTAGGTGGAGTTAACCCTGTAATGTAATTATTGCATTGTCTGAATAACTGCAATAATTACAATTTTTAACCTGCCAGGGACAGTGCACCCTAGACCACTTCAATGAGCTGAAGTGCTCTGGGTGTCTATAGTGTCCCTTTAAGGTTAAAAATTAAACTGGTGCAGCTAGCAATAATGTACAAGTGTTCAATCTAAAAACGTACTCTTTTTCAAGTATCATTCTGTTTGTTGAAATATTTTCTTGACCTTATTTATTGTGTTTTCATCTAATCCAGTGGTTCCCATACCAGTCTTCATGGTCCACCAACAATCCAGGATTTATGTACCGTATATACTCGTGTATAAGTCGATCTCATGTATAAGTCGAGGGCAGTTTTGTGACCAACAATTGTGAAATATGCTATGCCTCGTGGATAAGTCGAGGGTAAAACTTGGGACTATGAAATTCTGTGATTTTAGAATTATATACACACACACTCATACAAACACACTCTGCATTATATACACACACACTCATAAACAATCTGCATTCTACACACACACACACACTCTGCATTATATACACACAGAGTGTGTGCGTATATAATGCAGAGTATGTGTGTTTGTATGAGTGTGTGTGTAGAATGCAGATTGTTTATGAGTGTGTGTGTATATAATGCAGAGTATGTGTGTTTGTATGAGTGTGTGTGTAGAATGCAGATTGTTTATGAGTGTGTGTGTATATAATGCAGAGTGTGTGTTTGTATGAGTGTGTGTGTATATAATGCAGAGTGTGTTTGTATGAGTGTGTGTGTATATAATGCAGAGTGTGTGTTTGTATGAGTGTGTGTGTATATAATGCAGAGTGTGTTTGTATGAGTGTGTGTGTATATAATGCAGAGTGTGTGTTTGTATGAGTGTGTGTTTGTGTGTGTGTGAACTGGGTGGAAGGAGGGCATTTATTATATTATTATTATAAATTTTTTTATTTTAATATTGTAAGTTTTTTTCTTTTCTTTTATTTGAATATTTAAGGTTTTTATTTTTTAATATTAAGTTTTTTCTTTTCTTTTATTTGAATATTTAAGTTTTTTATTTTTTAATATTAAGTTTTTTCTTTTATTTTATTTGAATATTTAAGGTTTTTATTTTTTATTATTAATTTTTTTCTTTTCTTTTATTTGAATATTTAAGTTTTTTTTATTTTAATATTTTAATTTTTTTTATTTTAATAGTTTTTATTGTATTTTTTTTTGTATTTTTAATTTAATTTTTGTCCCCCCTCCCTGCTTGTTAGCTGGCCAGGGAAGGGGGCTCTCACTCCCTGGTGGTCCAGTGGATGGGCTGTGCAGGAGGAGGGGGCTGACAGTGAGAGGTTACTTACCTTCCTGCAGCTCCCTTCTCCTCCGTGCAGCTCTTCTGACAGCTCCCACTGGAAGTCTCGCGAGACTTCCAGTGGGAGCTGTCAGAAGAGCTGCACGGAGGAGAAGGGAGCTGACAGTAGCTGCAGGAAGGTAAGTAACCTCTCACTGTCAGCCCCCAACAGGACCGCCGGGCTTGTAATGAGCCGGCGGTCCTTGTCTGTATTATGGCAATGTAAATTGCCATAATACAGACATTAACTCGAGTATAAGTCGAGTGGGGGTTTTTCAGCACAAAAAATGTGCTGAAAAACTCGACTTATACTCGAGTATATACGGTATTTACTTTTTTATTTTATTTTTTTGTAAAAATGTCAATAAAAATATTTCTCCATTTGCAACATTGGGGCTAACAAAGGAATCAAGGCACATTTTTAATATGATCCATGGGATCCTTAGCGGCTGCACGTAAAAGTATATTGCATCAGTAGACTTGACCATCCCCCACACCCCATGTATTCTTGCTTAAAAACAAATCTCCCATTCCTTTTCCATATGGACTAGATAGAAGCCTTATTAAATAAAAGTACATTGCGGAAATTATTCTTTCTCACCTGGCAACCTTGACACTCTTCTTTTATAATGGATGTCCCTAGTGACCCAAGCAACAGCCATTTTATTGAATCTTTGGTATTAAAATATTCTATTTTTCACTTCTGAGGGAGGAGCTAAAGGGAGTGGATGCAGACACAGGAGCTCTGTGTAGAGCTGTCCTAGAAACTGCCTTGAAAGATCTTCCTGAGCCCCCTAAAGCTTTCACCCCAACAGTTGTCAGTAGGCACTCCCTGACACCATTGGGATTGTTTTTTACCAGCACACTATTGTCACGCTCTATACTGGATAAAAGGAATGGGGAGAAGACACGGCATTACACCTAGAAGCACAACTTTGTCCTGATGTGGCGCACTCTCTATTGCTACACTCCCAATATGCCTCCCTCCCAGAGGAAGCATGTGAAAATCCTTTACTAGCATCCATTAAAAAAACGTGGAGATTGGTGAGACAGCTCCTAGGACTCCAATGGCAATACATCAGATATATTACCTTCTTATGTAATCCTCAGACCTTTATCACTGCTTTTGGGGATGTGTGGGGATTGAAAAAAAAAAAAACTCTAGAGATAAGTTAAAAATTTTATAAAGAGACTAACGAGTAAATTCATATTTCTCCATTTGCAACATTGGGGCTAACAAAGGAATCAAGAATCAAGGCGCATTTTTAATTTGATCCATGGGATCCTGGCTGCTGCACGTAAAAGTATATTGCATCAGTAGATCTGCCCCCCTTCCCTGCCCATCCCCCACGCCCCATGTATTCTTGCTTAAAAACAAATCTCCTATTCCTATTCCATATGGACTAGATAGAAGCCTTATTAAATAAAAGTACATTGCAGAAATTATTCTTTCTCACCAGGCAACCTTAGATCAACTCATTAGACAGATCTATCCAGTCCAAAATGAAATTCACTTTTGAATGTAAAGATTGGTACTTTACCTGGGATTAAAACGGGCAAAACCCACCATAATATAATACAAATCGTTTCAAACTGGCACCCCAAATTTTGTTTCCCATGATGTTGCGTCAACTTTATTGCTTCAAGGCTGCAGATTTCATCATTCACACATGATTGGTTAAAGAGAGCATGCTTAGTTCAGTTTTGATTTAATGTTATGTTGTTTTTAAAGTCTCTTTTTATTATTTTAAATTTCTCCAAAAATGTCATGCAAGACATGACTCATGACAATGAAAGAGCCAAAATATTCCTTTTTATACCATAGGAAAAGGAAGAGCATTTGGCAAGATCTGTATTTGTAAAGGAAAGCCCAAAGGAATAATTTTAGCATTTTGTCATTTCCAGGCTCCTCGTTGGCATTTGCATTTTTGGATTGTAATTAAAAAAATAAATGTGATGCGTGCATTTCTGTAGGTTTGGAAAAGAAAACTCAGGTCCTACAACCAGAAGAAAAGAAGACAGTAGCTTTCCATGAAGCTGGACATGCAGTCGCAGGATGGTTCTTGGAACATGCAGATCCTCTCTTGAAGGTAAAATGATCTTGAGGCAAAACATATCTGGATAGAATGTTAATATACTCCTACCAACCAGACTCAGGATTCCTGTTCCACAGCTATTGTGTTTTAAACTTCTAATCTCACACATGGCATGCTATATATACATAGTATAGATACAGGTAGTAGAAAATGAGTAGCAAGAGTTGCTGTGTTCATAGCCGTATAATAGCTATGCATTAATACGTGTTATTTTCTGACTTAGTTTGCGGTTTGTAGTATGAACTATGTTTTTGCCCTCTTAGGTGATCTATTTGGCTATCTTATATGGTCAGAGGTTTCTTTGTGAGATCTTGAGCAACAAAAATGTGCAAAATTATCACATATTCTTTGAAAGGGCTCAGTGTACTTCTACTGTCTGAGTTCCTGTGACACCCTAATAAAATGCAGAACATGTACAGTGGGTTTTATTTTCAGTTTTGTTTTTTTGTTTTTTAAATGTACAGACATGGTGATACAGGCAATTTAAGTAATAAGAGCACACATTTCAGATGTGCAATTAAACAATAGAAAAGCTGTATCTATTATACCTATTGTAGTTGTACATGTTACACCTTAAGCAGAGCCTGGGTCCCAAACAGAACATTATCTCCCAGGACTCTCAGCTACCAAGACAAACTACAGCCTTAAGCAGGGGTAGCTCTTTTGGATGGTCTACCTAAGAATACCTGCAGCACTTATTTTATTCTTCTATTTCTTAGTTTCTCTTTTTACTTCTCTCCCCTACAATATTACTGCTTAATTATTAACTATGTACCTTCCATGCTCAACCCTTGTTTTGATCATTGTTTATTTTGTTAGTATTGTGCCAATAGTCTTGTCAATTTATGTCCACCATTTATGACCTACCCCTAATTTTGTTAGTTGAGTTATTGTGCCGATAGTCATGCTAATTTATGTTCACCATTTATGACTTACCCTTATATCTTTAAATCTCAAATGCTTTCTCCTTTATTTTTCTCTTCTCATTAATTTCAATTTCTCACCTCAATCTGTGTCTTCCCCATCCTTTCTTGCAAACTGGGTCCCAAACAGAACATTAGCTCCCAGGATTCACAGCTACCAAGACAGGCTACAGCCTTAAGCAGAGGTAGCTCTTTTGGATGGCTTTCTGCCCATTCCTCCCCACACCACCCCAACGAACACACTACATTTATACATAGCACAAATTACCTGACTTTCCAAACACACTAATTATGTCTCTCAAACCCTCATCACCTGCTCAATTATCACACTCCCGAACTGCAACTCCTGATCCATCTCATCTCTCATCTCTCATGTGACTTTAAGATCCCACCTCAGCTAATTTTGCATAACTAAAAATCCTAATTTTCCTTCTTTATAATAGAAACTCCTTAATTCTCCTTAATGAATGCTCTCCCTTATATTCTTTACTTTCACTCTCCCCTCTTTAATGAGCAAAATCTCTTTATCCTTCTGCTCACCTGTCCCTGCTTACACCATTTTCATTGCTCCCACTTTACTTCCCTCTCTTTTCATCCCATGCACTTTACTTACACCTTTCTAGCCTATCTCCACCAACCCTTTCTAAGACCTGTAAATACAAACCCTCTTAGAAAACCTTTATATCCTATTCATTCTGCTCCTAGCAGCTGGTGACGTCTCTACAAATCCCAGTCCCACCTCCGCTAACACACCACGTGCTAACTCCAGGAATCACAATAATCTCATACTCCTAATTCTTGGGGACTTCAACATCCCCATTGACCTGCCCTTGTCCTCAGTAGACTCAAAACTACTTTCAATGACTCCTGCCCTTGGGCTATCGCAGTGGGCTAAGGCCCCCACCCATGTAGCTGGCAATATCCTTGATCTTATTTTCTCTCATGAATGTACAATCTCTAATCTCTGCAAAACTCAGTTTCCTCTCTCAGATCACCACCTCGTATCATTTGCTCTCAATAGCCTCTTACCCGATCATCCTCAACCTAACCCCGCTGAACTAGGAAGAAATCTTAATTATATTGACCTCCAGCAGCTATCCGCTAATATTGATTCCCAACTTCTATCCATCCCTACTTTCTCTTGTCCTTTACCTGCTATCTCCTCATATAACTCTACCCTCACCTCTGCCCTGGACGCTGCAGCCCAGCTCCAAACATGCACCTTGAGGAGAACATGCCTCCAACCGTGGCACACTAAATCAACACGCTACCTGCAAAGATGCTCCCATTCTGCTGACCGCTGCTGGAGGAAGTCACGCACCAAGTCGGACTTCCTCTACTACAAAATCATGTTGCGTTCATACAGCACATCCCTTGCCCTTGACAAACAGTCATACTTTTCCTCCCTAGTTAGCTCATGCTCCCAGGCGTCTTTTTAATACCTTTAGCTCCCTTCTTTGCCCTGCTGTTGCCATCCCCCAAACTAACCTTACAGCCGATAGCTTTGGATGCTACTTTGCCAACAAGATTGAACAGCTAAGCAAATACTTCTCCCCACCTTGCCCCCTCTATCTCTCAACCACACCTGGCTCATGCCTTTCCTACCCTTCAGAGTTCTCCCAAACTACTGAACAAGAGGTGACTGCGTTTCTCCTTTCCACTCCCCCCACAACTTGCCTGCTTGATCCTGTCCCATCTAACTCTATCAGATCTCTCTGCTTTTGTCTTGTGCCATTCTTAACACATCTTCAACTGGTCTCTCTCTTCTGACGTTGTCCCTACTGCCCTTAAACATGCTACTGTAGTACCCATCTAAAAAAAATAAAAAATAAAAATCCAAAGGGCACTACTCCATACTAATTCTTCTTGACCTCTCTGCTGCCTTTGACACTGTTGACCATGTTCTCTTTCTCCAAACTCTTCAATCACTTGGTCTCTGTGACACTGTCCTCTCTTGGTTTTCCTCCTATCTCTCCCAACTTTCATTCAGTATCTCCTTTTCTAATGATACGTCCTCCCTTTGTACTGTCTCGGTTGGAGTCCCCCAAGGCTCTGTACTTGGCCCCCTTCTATTTTATCTTTTTACTGCTTCTCTTGGCAAACTTATTACCTCATTTGGATTCTAATACCACCTGTATGCTGATGACACTCAGCTATACCTCTCCTCCCCGGACCTCTTCCCTGCCGTCCTGCAATGTGTCACTGCTTGCCTTTCTTCCATCTCTGACTGGATGTCCTCCTGCTTTTTGAAACTCAATTTCTCTAAAACTGAACTCCATGTCTTTCCTCTTCTTCACTCTCCCTTCAAGTTAGTGGTACCCTCATCAGTCCATCCTTGCAAGCATGCTGGCCTAATATCTGCCATTAGTGCACTTTGGTTTCATTTTTTTGAATGGGTATTGGGGTCTCTAGAGATCAAAATCCTCTGAGCTCGGTAATAATGGATATAGGCTTCTCTTCATCTTCAGTAGATTCTGAGAGGTCTTCTCTCACAGTAGCCACTGCAGGCTTTGGCCTGTTAATCTGAGTGAGCAATTGTTTATTAATTGAGGATGGTGCTTCAAGACCATTCCATGCTGCTGTCAACCTCATTCCCTCGCCTTTATAGAGTAATCTGGCATCCTCTTGTGGATAATATCCGCTGTGGATGGGGTCTCAAGCGGCCAATATTAGGTGAATTAAAACCACCATGCTCAGAGCTGCAGAATATCATGTCTAAGCAGCTCGATGGTCTGGATCCTCCCCTGTATAAAAAAAAATTTCTGCTAGATCTGCATGGTCAAGACCACCAGATAGAATCAATTTGTAGCACATTTACCTGTAACATGATATGTTATGTTTAATACTGTTCAGTATCTGTTTTAGGTTAATTGTTGCAAAGTTTGGATTGAATCTAAAAAAGCGAGCTGTTTGGAGTAAATATGCAAATACTGTATTGCTTTATACTTCCTGTTTACCTCTGACCTGGATGTAGCTCTATAGTCTAACAGGATTCCTCAAACTAAAAGCTTGTAGTGTCTTCATTGTTATAACTGAATCACTATGCTTGTACCTGTAGTTAAATACACTACTACCCAATAATTTTAGTGTTTGTGTTCCGTGTAGATTATAGTCAATCTTTATTAACCCTTTGGCCTGAGCTTTTAAATTCCTACATTTGACCTGTGTATATGCAGCATTTCCAGCAAGCCCGTCCTTCATCTGGAAACTTCCTAAAAGGTGTGTGTTGTCTGGGCACACTTGTTCCAGACCACTGAAATTTCCCTCTGTGTACCCCAAGAAGGTGAAAATTATGTATAGTTTAATAACTTTTCACCTACACATTTGCTTGTAATTTGGCTTGAACAGTGTATGAACAAAATATTATGCCAATCATTTTAAGCATGACTTGGTGCACATTGGGGCTGTTGAGGCATCAACACATGTTGGGTGCAATGTGTAAGTTAAGTTACAGTTAACCCTCATTTATTTGCTTTGTTCCCAGAACTGTTCGACTGGTCAAGAATTGGGATGTGCTAAATAGCACTTAAATTTTCCAACGTATATTTTAAAAACATATCGGTTTGTATATTTTGGATAACTAGTCGTGACATGGAACATGTGTGATTAATTTCTGTAATTAAATTTGATGTTGTATTTCCAGGTTTCCATCATCCCACGGGGGAAGGGACTTGGTTATGCACAGTACCTGCCTAAGGAGCAATATCTGTACACTAAAGAGCAACTTCTGGATAGAATGTGCATGACACTGGGAGGACGGGTCTCAGAGCAGATATTCTTTGGGAGAATTACAACTGGTGCACAAGATGATCTGAAGAAAGTAACACAAAGTGCTTATGCCCAGGTATGTACTTTAATGTATTTCCATACACAAATAAAGCAAAACCGGTTTGAGTCTGCTTTTCTAATTTTAATGTTGATTGGTGTATTACTGAGTATCATTGATTTTAATGAACTCACAGGCTGAACCATGCCAACATATGCATAATAGTGCAACCCTTCTGGTTTTAGAAAACATGTTTGTACCTTTTGCCCATGTATTTCATTGTGATCTGATATTGATTGCTTTTTAGATCAATGTGGAGGTAACTGAGAAATGAACTTGTCATAGGAAGCATTGCTATAACGTGCAGTGAGGAGGATCTTTTTAGTATGTTGGCTGATACATAGGCATGACTAGATTTAGATTGGGTGATTGCCCATCCAGTAATACGGACCAGGCACAAGAAATTTCTGTCCCTGTAACACATCTCATCTGTAGGCAAGCGTGCCTCTGTTGAACTCAATGCTTGCATAAGGGTGTTTCTGTTGTGATTAGGTACCTGTAGTTCTTAAATCACAGTTTATTTCCCGAGTACCATTCATGCTTAAGAAGCTCCTTAGATCTACATCTGCCTGGCATTATGTGCATCCTCAAACTCTCGGTATTTTTTAAAAATTTTTATTGCTGGTTGGTTCCATCTTGTTGGTCCGTTACCATAATTCAAGCTGTAACCGGTCAAGATGACATTCTGCACTGCTTCTCTACATGGATTTATAGGGATTATTTAAAAGGTATGCTAAAATGTGGATTGGTGTTACAATAGTACACCTCCTGTCTAGCGCAGACTGCACAGTTATCATACACATTCTTTGTGTAAGCATTTAGAACTTACTGAACCTGTCATGACACTAATAGGTTGCTTGTCCATTGTAAAAATCTATATGGCTACTATACCTATAGGTTACTGATAGGATAAAATCATATAACCAATCAGCCATAAAATTGGGAGTTGATTTGAAACCTCAGAGAATCACTGGGGAAGAATTATAGCCCAAACAGTCACTTAGTATTCTGAATACTTTGTGTTATGAAAGTGGTTTAAACTAAATCACCTCTTGACAATTTGCGATCTAATTTGCTGTAAGTTGTAAGAAAAAAATAAAATGTTAAAAAGTAGGTTACTGTAGTCCCCAATATCTTTTTCTCACATTAAGTAGTAACACAACTGATTTTCAAATGCATCATAATGCTACACACATGTATTGCTGGACATATTGTAAAAAGCATATAGTTTTAGGTGACAGAGACGATTTCTGTGCATCATATCCATACATTTTTGGGGGATTTTTTTCCCCTCCATGCTCAACTAAATATTTCAGGCTGCTTCTATGCACCTTAAAAGTGCAAAATGTTCCGTATCTAAAGGCTTTTTTGATCTGTAGTGCCATCCAAGAGAAGTCAGACATTAATGCAACCCATTGCAACTTTTATCCTCGTCAGATTGTCCAGTTTGGCATGAATGAAAAAGTTGGACAAGTATCCTTCGACCTTCCGCGCCAAGGAGATATGGTACTGGAAAAGCCTTATAGTGAGGCAACAGCAAGAATGATCGACGATGAAGTTAGGCTACTTATCAATACTGCTTATGAGAGAACACTCGAGCTCCTTACAGAAAAGAAGGCTGAAGTTGAAAAGGTGAGGGTGCATTTATATAATATTTTTGTTTATATGTTAATCTATTCATTATTTTCCTTTCCCAACAACAGGTGATGTCAGAACTACTACAGAGCTGCTGTTGTTATTATTGGTATTTAAAAGCGCCAACATATTCTGCAGCTCTGAGTTGGCTCCTCTCACAACTGCCATTAGACCGAACTTCCTCCTAAACACACAAGGCTCCTTAACCCATCCATATCACAATCTAGTAACAAGACACAATAGAAACAATGCCAGTGTCCTGGAGCATAATTTCGCAATGTGGACTTCCCAGCATGACTGGCAAACCTCTGATGGCAGGACTTGCCATGCAATGACACATAAAAGGAATCTGTGAAACAGGATGGAGTCTTTTAACCATCATGACATTTCTCACTTGACTCTAACTGAGATCACATTCTGCAGTAACATGCTCCTCTGTAATAACTGAGGAAGCATTTCAAGCAAATGTTTAAATAACATCAAGCCTGTCAGATTTATAGTCTATGACAGACACACCCCAAAAGGCTTGTGGAGTGTTTCCAGTCTCTTTCCATATTTTCCTTTAACCTTGCACTCCCTTTAAAAAAAAATTCCACTATTCCAACTGCCAATGTCACCCTGCTCCAAGAAAAATCACTTGCCAGATTGGAGTCAGCAGGCTTTTCTTTTGATTGATCATCCAGCCATGCTTCAGCAAAACAGATGATGTCTGTCTGAAATTTGCCAAAACCAGCACATCCTCCAGTTAGTGAAAAATCGGAATTCCAATCAGCTTTATCTTTGCACAGGAGTGATGTTAACTTACCACACACTCATATACACTGCCCAAATTATGCCATCCAAACGGAAAGAGAGACAGACCGGTATGGGTCCAGGAAAGGAGGTCATGCAAGACGTAACTCCATCTTGCCCATCTTTATCTGCTACCATATAGAGTTACAGCAAATGCTCCCTGGCCCAGGAGATTCTGTGGATGGTAACCATTTGAGAGATGCAATATACTGCAGCTTTCATGGGAAGAGTGATTAAACTCCTCCAAGCCAAAGGACCTGAAGAGACCCCATAAGCTGCCTTAAAAGAGGAGAGGGGAAACTATTGAAGCCTTACACCTGTACAGGGAGTGTGGACAAAAAGAAAGACTATGGTATAGAGGGGTTATGGGGCCATTATGACATTAGAGTGAAGTTCTCTCCAGTGAGAGTTGTGGTAAGGAACTAACCCTGGAGTAGTGAGTATTTTTTCATAAAATTAATTTGTATTGTGGTAAAATAAATTTGCATTGTATTAATGTACACCCAGATAATGTGTAATTATTTTCCAATGTTCATGCTATACTAAACTGACTGAACAGTTTGGACTCTTTGACAAAATTTAGTTTTAACAGCCTCTTAACCCTTTAAATGCACTAGTTATTTTCTTTCCTAAATGCAAATCTAAGCATCTGATTTGGGCCCTAGTGTCTGTGTTTGGTTTTTTGGTGTACTGAGCCTGCATTGTGGCTTGTTTGCAGTATAATACTCTCATTTAATCAGACACTTGTCATTTTGTAGATCGCTCTTCGGCTTTTGGACAAGGAAGTCCTTGGTAAAAGTGATATGGTGGAGCTACTGGGCCCCAGACCATTTGCTGAGAAGTCTACTTACGAAGAGTTTGTGGAAGGCACTGGAGGCCTGGAGGAAGATACCTCCCTTCCTGAAGGTCTGAAAGACTGGAACGTAGACCGTGAGAAGGAGAAAGAAGAATCTTCAGATGAGCAGATTGCCAGGCATATAAGTGGAAAGATGCCATTTTGATTACTTTTTGACACTGGACAAAAGACACTTTATTTTCATAGGAATTTGGAGCACTTTTTAAATAAAATGTATTTCTCCTGAAATCTCGACTGTATACATATATGTGTATGTGTTTTCCACACAAGTATGAAAGACTCTGCATTATTAGTGTCCAAAAGAAAATGAACCCTTTCAGAATGTAGCGCCATATGACGCAACCACTTCACCTCGATCTTATGTGTACTATATAGTATTTGGGATGGTGGCTTGTGGGTAAATTAAAAGCTTATTTTCCCCCCATATCATATTTAAAACGTTAATTCATATCTCAAAATGTAGTTGTGCTTATAAATACAATTGCGTTTAACTTTTTCATGTCCCCTCATATTCTTTAATATGCAAAAGAATAGAGATCAGATTTCAAAATGTAATACTTATACAAATATTTAAACTAGTAACCCATAAATCTTGAACTAAAGTATAACCAGGTACAGTTAAAGGAGGAACTGAAAAGGGTAAGAAACAATTAAAATAAATTACATTAATATTACAATAACTTAAAGGAAAAGCAATAAAGTTTTTTTATTTATTTATTACATATAGATATTCATATTTAAAGAAAAACTAGTAACAAATCCACACTATCTTGACAAATTGCCTAATAACCTTTAGGTTTCCAGAGACTAGTGGCATGAAAAGGCTACCATCCCATCTTTTACTTTATCACTATTAACCAATCTGAAGCATGCAATGAAAAAAACCAAACAGATTAAAGCTGCACAGGTATATTCCAAATATAGTTTGGTTTTTTTGTTTTTTTAAACCCAAGCTCTGTACTCCAGCAGTGTTCCAGGCTCCCTGTCCTGCCGCTTTCTGAAATTCTTCATAATGGAAAGCTCAGCAGTGGTGCAGCTGACTGGCTTAGATCATCAGCTGATTGCTCTACGTCAATCAGTGGAAATCCTGTTCAATTCTCCAAATTTCCTGGGTCAGAGCGGAACAGTGCTGGAGAACAGTCTTGGCGGTTAAACAGATTGTGATTGGTTTAACTTTTGATAAAGTTGTTATGGTGCCCAGAGTGTTCCTTGAATGGGAGACTCCACTGCCTAAATAACTTTTTTTTTTTTTAAATCACTGTATGGTACATATAGCCAAAATAAAAATATGCATAGGTTTAATTATTCATTTTGGGGTATTTCCCTGCAGATCTTTGTAAGCCCTCCTCCCTCTACACAGCCCTGAGAATCTCCAATCACAGGCTTTCCATGTCAATGAGAAGTCTTTAGGCTACAGTTTCTACTCAAATATTTATGTAAAATGAAAAAAAAAAAACTGTTCACAAATAAAGCACTTCAGCAAGCTTGGAGTCCTTGATGGGTCTGGAGTGTTCCTTTACGTTAAAGATTTACTGGATACAAACTTGTACAACTACTAGTTCAGGTATCATAGTTCATACATTGAATATGTGTATTGAAAGCGTTGGTTTTGGGAAGTGTTCAACTTTTGTTTTCTTTATATTTTGGTGTGTTGGCTCAGGACATCAGTACTAGGAGGGGAGGTCACTAATGTGAAAATTATCAGGTATTCAAATTGAATTTCAAATCTAAGGACAAAATGGATAAATTCTCCAAAATCAGCAATTTTGGCCTAAAGCTTGAAATTCACTTAGAAGTTCCAACAATTCTCACTTTAGTGAATAACCCTGTTTGAGTGTCTGTTTATGTGCGGTCACATATATCTTTAATATATTTTAATTGAAGTGTTACATTACGATTTCCTTGTGTATATTTATTGTGGGCATTTGCATGGAAAGTACATGATGTGTCTGTCCGCCACCAAAACACCTTTTTGTGTCCTAAAACAAGAGTTAAGCACTTCCTTGTATGTATAAAGTCCTGAAAGTGACACCTTTTCTGTATTATATCTTTGTGTTGTGTCTCAGGGTATCTGCCATTGAGAATCTTTCAAGTCACAGTACAGAATTTATTGACATTTATAGTCCAATAATATGATGGTGGATCATGCAAAGGAGTATAGAGTCGACTAAATCTGCAGGAGAGACAGAGAGTAGGTCCTTGTGACCGAACACTAGGACAGTTGAGAAATATCTGTTCTCCCCCAATAGCCTATACCTGCAATTATTACTAATGTACTTGCAGTCACTTATGTAATTGGAATATCAGTATTGAGTTATTGGCGACTGCATATACCTGGTTACAGAATCATATTTAAAAAAAAATAAAAAAAATCTGCACTTAATAATTGCATAACAAATGCTTGATGAAATTCAAAAGTGTGCATGAGTAAAGTGGTTCCGACAAAGCTACCATTGGAGACAGAAGCGTTTTATATATGTGGTGGGGACGGGGGTGTTTTGTTTGTTTCACCAAGTATTTGCTGATGATCTTAAGGCCCTTTTCTGAATTTATGTAACTTTTTTGACATGTGACACTCAAGTAGTTGATTTTCTCTTGGATGCTTCTACCCATGTATATGTTATAGTTTTAATTTGTACATGAAAGATAAATCTGAACAATATGAACTATTTTACAACTAAAAATATGTATTCCAGATCCTGCACCTTTTTTTTATTTTTATATCTGCGTTTTTCCAGTGTTAATTATAATGGGATTATTGTTCCAGTCTAAATCCTCTGCCTCCAAAAAAAAATAAGAGCAGATTAAAATGTGACATAACTGTCTGCCTTTAAAACAATGAGCTTTTATCATTCGTTACTTTTTCATTGCTCTTGATCTAATTTGCTGCTAGAGATAATACGAATTTCTATCTTAAGTGGAAACTCCTGTGCAGACATGTCTGAAGGAAAGTAATTATTTGGTTAATATTGTAAGAAATTTTGAAATGTTTTATAAAAGAAGCTTTACGCATGTTTCTAAAAAAGTTGATTCCACAATCCTGAATGTATTGTTTTGTATAAATATTTTGTTAAACTATTAAATTAAATAAGTCTTCATTCTGTTTTGGTTGACAATGTAGCACGATAGTTTTTTTTTCAGAAGGAACATGTGAAAGCCCAAGTTTTGTCCTACACCGATGACAATGTGATTAATATTCATTTGGCTTTCCTTAAGATGCAGTACATGTGTACTCTCCGCTTTGGGTGTAGACTATTGTATCTGTTGTGTTTTTAGTAGTCATGGACACAAGTTTAGGTGGACACAGATTTTATTATATATATATATATATATTTTTATTTTTTTTACAGCAATTGCTTGCGCAACAATTACCCAGGTGGCAAGTCTCATAACCACAAGCTTCAATATATTGCTATTCTCTACTATTCTTCTGCCAAATGGAAAAATAATACTTCATTATTCTGAAGGACATTTGGAATGTAGTAAATAAACTACTGGGGTAGAACCTCTCTAGAATTACTTCTTAATGCTGGGTGTGGGCAAAGCTTCATGGAATTTTAGTTCTACACACTTGTTGGCCACACATTCCAGAAGAAATAACTGGTATTCTCACCTTGCAAGATCTCCCAAATGTACCCCAAACCACATGCCCTTTCGTATTGGCAAAAATAAATCTACTTGGCCTGTCCTCATTGTTAAGAAGCTTCATTTATACTCCGTTTGACCCCCACCTCCACCTTTCACCGGCAGGAGTTGCTAGTCCTGCCATAATGGAATACACTGCAACCCCCAATAAGGGATCTCCTTTTCTAGGGCAGTCTACTTTTATCTGGTTTCCCACAACTTCCCTACCACTAATTGATGGACCCTATTCCACCTTATTCTGCATATATTGTGTAGTTTAGTGTATATATTCAAATATGTTTACACACCTGGAAAGTCTGTCTACCACACTGGATACGTTACACTTGGTCCTCTGTATAACTTGTCATCTTTTCCCTGTTTGGCTAATTGGTTTACACTAATTTCATTTTCTCTTTCATCTAAAACTACCATCTAACCCCTCCCCCCACTCCCTAACTATAGTATGTTACTTGGATTCAAGTCTGCACCTGCTACCTTTGTCTGATCTGCCTGGTTGGCTGACATCATCAGAAGTGATTCTCTGAGCTAATCAAAATGCTTTCCCATTGGATTGGATAAGACTATTAAAGAGGCAGATTATGGGCAGAGCCAGCACAAGTCAAAAACAGCCATAGCCAATCAGCCTCTCCTGAGGAGTGGCCAGTGGAGTTATCATTAGGCTGTAATGTAAACACTGCTTTTTCTCTGAAAAGACAGGGTTTACTGCAAAACGCCTGAAGGGAATGATTCTACTCACCAGAACAAATACAATAAGCTGTAGTTGTTCTGGTGACTATAGTGTCCCTTTTTTACCCATTGTAAAGCTTTGCGGAATTTGATGGCGCTATATAAATAACATAATAATAATAATAATACTTAATACATTGCTGTTGAAAGGAAGTAAAAGCAAAATTCTTCTTGGTGAATCACTGTTCTCTTCTGGTTTTCTATTTGTGAATCTGTATGTGTGCTTTTGTACACTCATTTTTTGTTAATTTTAACTACTCCCCAAAAAATAAAAATAGGATGTGCCTTTAATTTTGTTAATCAAGTTGGTGGATACAAGGGAAATGATGGGGGCATATTGCTCCAGATTAGAGCACCATTACAATTCTCATTAGTGTTGTTGACTAAACCAGGAATAGGGAAGAATTTTTTTTTTTTTAATGAATTTTTTCACATATTAAGACATTATGGAAAATTTGACAACATACACATCTATACTATTTTCCAGGTTCAGTAGTTTTGAAGGCAACATATCTACTTAATCACTTAAAAGGATACATAAAATGCAGGTTTTATCTTTCGGAAGAAATAAAATAAACAATGTTCGGAAATAGAAATGGCATTAAATAGCAACTGTCCCGCCAATAGTGGGACATTTAGGAGGCCTGCAAAATTAGTCAACACCTTTAGCAAGAAGTCCTTACTTTTTCTTGTTATGCCCTAATAAAAATCCACAATGGTTAACACAACTGGCAAGGAATAACTTTTATTAAACATTTCACCTCTGTATTTTCAACCATTTTGCAAAATTTCTAATACAAATATATGTGTATCTTCTTTATTAAACAATGAGCTGTATTACAAAATCTGTCCTAGAAGTGTAAATTCCCCCACAGGTTCAAGTGCTACAAAAAAAAAAAGTTTTGTTGTTGAAATGGCCTTCAAACATTTACAAGTGTAACAGAGAAATTTAAAGTTAAGAATTTCAGACAATTTGTTTACAAAATATGGATTCTGCTGATTTTAATTTTGCATTCAGCTTCTTATTCACTAATTTCTTCTTCATCCTCTTCAAATGTCTCCTCCCCATCATTGGCAGTAGCTTCTTGATACTGCTGGTATTCAGAAACCAGGTCATTCATATTGCTCTCAGCCTCTGTAAATTCCATTTCATCCATGCCCTCCCCTGTAAACCAATGTAGGAAAGCCTTTCTACGGAACATGGCCGAGAACTGCTCTGAGATCCTCTTAAACAACTCTTGGATGGCCGTGCTGTTGCCAATGAATGTGGAGGCCATCTTCAAGCCACGTGGTGGGATGTCGCATACAGCTACTTTTACATTGTTAGGAATCCATTCTACAAAGTAACTGCTGTTTTTGTTCTGAACAGCAAGCATTTGTTCATCCACTTCCTTCATGGACATTGGTCCCCTGAAGACTGTGGCCACTGTCAGATACCGCCCGTGACGTGGATCGCAAGCTGCCATCATATTCTTGGCATCAAACATCTGCTGTGTAAGTTCAGGTACAGTGAGGGCTCTGTATTGTTGGCTTCCCCGAGCTGTCAGTGGTGCAAATCCTGGCATGAAGAAATGAAGACGTGGGAATGGTACCATATTAACCGCTAGTTTTCTGAGATCTGCATTGAGCTGGCCAGGGAATCGTAGTGAAGTGGTAACTCCACTCATGGTAGCTGAGACTAGGTGGTTCAAATCTCCATAGGTGGGTGTAGTGAGCTTCAATGTACGGAAGCAAATGTCATACAAGGCTTCGTTGTCAATGCAGTACGTTTCATCTGTGTTTTCCACCAGTTGATGGACAGACAGTGTTGCATTATAGGGCTCAACCACAGTATCAGACACTTTAGGTGAGGGCATAACGCTGAATGTGTTCATTATCCTATCTGGATATTCTTCTCTTATTTTGCTTATGAGAAGTGTCCCCATTCCAGATCCTGTTCCACCTCCAAGAGAATGGGTTAGCTGGAACCCTTGCAAACAGTCACAATGATCACATTCCTTTCGGACCACATCCAGAACTGAATCTACCAACTCAGCCCCCTCTGTGTAATGTCCTTTTGCCCAGTTGTTTCCTGCACCGGTTTGTCCTATATTAGAAACAAAAAAAATAAAATAATGAACAAATGAAAACTAAGCCTTAATAGGTAGAAAAGAACCAGTGCCTTTAATAAGACTGGAGGTTACATTTAGCAATCTGCCAGCCCTGCTCTAGATTATTTAGAGACCATAGTGCTTAAAGGGACACTATGCACCTGGATAATTTCAAGGTACGCAAGTTGGTGGAAGTTGTTCAAACTTTGCAAAAAAAAAATATTTATATATAATATTTAGCCTCTACTTCCCAAAAGAATAGGGGCTGCTTAAGGCTGCAGGAATTCCTGGGCATTAACATGTGCACTAGCACCAAAAGCAGTTGCACGTGATGTCAGTGCAAGTACTCTCAACACTAGTAAACAAACATCAGTGCATTACACAAGTAATGATCACTCCACGTTGCGTGCATGCTCAGTGGTAGTAAGCTTTGAATGGAAAAGTGCTACTACTTAGTATATGTTGTTTTCAGCAAATGACCTTTGTTGGATTTTTTAACATGACACATGTAAGATTTATATACATAGATTATTCTGTATATAGCATCAACTATTGTTTATTGTAAAGGTTCAGTGATAAAAGTAACTGACAACTAAAGTGCTTTCTTATAGGAGAGATAGTTGTAAGGATGGAGAGGGGGGATGACCGCATCATATCCCATGATGGCCCTCATTGCATTAAAATTCAGTCTAATCTCTGAAAGGATCAGAATTAGATCAAAGTTCCAGTGCCATGAAACATCTCGTGCTCGTGAATTGCATCAGGGGACTCAGTCAAAAACCCATTAACATTGAAGTAAACCTTTATTTGTTTTAGAATTTGATAAAGCCCCAGTGGTGAAACGCATTATTGGTTTTATTATACTGTATATTTTATATAAATAAATAATTTTGTACTATCATTCCTTTATACGATTTTATTTTATTTTATACATCTTTGATCACTGTTTCCTGGCATTTTACTTATCCTAAAGTGGGGATTATACCACCCACGCTATCATCCGAGTGCAGACAGGCCTGCACTCCACTTGTGAGTATATTTTATTTTACTTCAACCTATTTCTACATCGTGTCATCTTCCTTGAGAATTGGATACCTTCACTCTCCGGAGGACAAGCATCTACATATCCCGCAAGCGGGGATTAATCCGCTGTATGCCTGTTACACCTGAGCTGGACATAGCTCATTCGAATGTGAGTGTACAATTTATATTTTAATTTATTTACATCTATTTTATACACTCTACACGATTGGTCCTTTCTCATTGTGTCTTTTATATTGCGAGACGATCCACTACAAACAGAGAAGAGATCCTACCAGCTGAAACAGCAACTAAGAATATATAATTTCTGATATAAATTGGGACTGTTTTATACACTTATTTTATTTTTTAATTTTCTTTATATATATTTTATATATTATATATAAACAAAAAAAAAATTCTGTGTATTTTTTACTATTTATTATTTTTTTTCTGGCGCAGCCTTTCATTGTTTTGTTGTACACTATCTATATTTATACCTACCAAAAATGAAATTATCAGGCCTGAAAAGCTGTCCAAATGGGCCAGACCGGACGCTGTCCATGGTACCTGGTTCCAGATCCACCAGGACGGACCTTGGCACATACTTCTGAGCTGTAAATATAAATAATGTTTATTGATTTTATCATTATTAATACAGGATATGTTTGCCATATTATATACATGGCAGAATGTTGCCACCTGGGTATATTTGTTTTTTAGTTAGCTTCAAAAGATCAGGGCTGGGTACTACAGTGGTCCCAAACTGCAGCCCTGGCAATGTGGCTGGACAACACCTCCCACAGTTCTCTTCAATACATTTGTATGCAGAGAAATATGGGAGTTGTAGTCCAACAATATCTGCAGGTCACAGTACCAAACTAGTAATATATATATATTTTTATATATATATATATATATATATATATATATATATATATATATATTATATTTTTAAATTTTATGTAGTCAAGTCCTAGAAGTATGACTAAAGACGTTCAGTAAAATATCTGGGTGTTAATTCAGACTGGGCCCCTGATGTCATGTTCTGCTCTTTTCCTGTGATTTAATTAATCTACAAACCACACAACCCCATGTGTACCAGTCAGCCTGGAGCCCTTCTTGGAAGTGTCACTGTTTTAAGGCGTGATCAAAGCAAGCCATATAAAGCACACAACAGTGTGATCACCCAACAGCCACGTGGAAGGCATGTGCTATTAAAACGTTCATTGTGGTTATTCGATTTAGTCCAGATGGATAATCTTTGTTTGCAATGGAAGGATCTAAACTAGATTTGTAATTCTCGTAATTGATAAAAAATAAATTCAGTTGTAATTTTGTATTATTCAACCAATTTAGCACATCTCATCTCAAGTGATCTCTGGTATGAGCCTTAAAATTTGTCTTTTTCAAATAAGAATCCAGTATAAAATATGGGATTTACACATTTATCAAACATTAATTTTCAACCAAATTCACTAGTCTTCTCCCCTGACAGCACCAACAGCTAGTGGGCAAAAGGTAAATATAAATATAAATATAAAACAGAAATGAATAAATTATTAATGAAATGCCTATTAGATATGTGTTTATAATTGGAGTATATAAAACCCCTCCATGGAGTTAACTCTTTCTTGAATAGATTTGGCCATCATAATAGTTCTCTGCAGTATTAGTGTTTGTCCCTATTCGCTTGCACATTTGGACCAACTCCATTGTGTAACTTCAGTATGACAGTTAGGAGCCCATTATCTTGAATCTGAGCATTTAATTCCATTTTGTTTTTAGCAATTTGGTTGCACCTGTATAGCCTGAAATCTGGACTACCTGCAGATTAATTAGAAGGCTGTTTTGCAATGTCCAGAAATTGAACAATGTCTGGAGCTTTTTTTCTTTTTTGTATTGTATGGTTTTTATTGGCTTTGAGGCGTTACATTACATGTGAAGTACAATATATGAGTTATATCCAGGTTCTGTAAATATATTACAAGATTATACATCAGTCATTAAACACAGTAATAAACACAACTTATTAAATGACATGTAAAGTATCAAAAACAGCATACAGACACACGAACATTCAACAACCACTAGTTCATCCACTATCCCCCTTCCATTTTGAGAAATATTGTGGTTGTTGTTGTTGTGTGTGTGTGTGTGTGTATATGTATGTATATATATATATATATATTATTTGCTTACCAAGTAAGCGGTATGTCATAGTTTCATACCTACTTGATTGTTGCAACCTGTGATTACTATTTGTATAGGAGGCAGAGACATAGATTTCCATGCCACCGCTATACTAATTTTAGCTGCGGTTAGTATATGAATTACCATGGTTTTATCATAACCTCTTATATCTGCTCTAAACATATCAAGTAAACTGACTTCTGAAGAAAGATGTATGTTAGCTGAGCTTACCAGGTTTAGCATAACTAGTGCATGGTTCCAAAATGTTTTTAACGACAGGACCAAAATATGTGCAACCCTGAGCCTACTTCTCTACTGCATCTCAACCACACCGCTGAGCTAGAGGGGAAAATCTGAGCTAAGCGTTGGGGAACCGTGTACCACCTCATTACTAGCTTATTTTTCACCTCTAAATGTGTCAGATATTTGGATGCATCTTTGTTTCACATATTAATGCTAACGCTCTTCGTGAGTTCTTTTTCCCACTGGAGCATAATGGTAGCTTGGTGGGTTTATTATTTTGTGCAATAAACTGATAGTCTAGTGTTAACGGTTTAGTCGTGGATTTAGTCCTCCAGCAGGGTTTGCGGATGGTGGTTATGTTTTTCCTATTTAGCCTTTACATTTTAGGAGTAAGCAGTATATTTTTAATTCTGAGATATGCGCACACCTTTTTTGAGCGGAGCGAGACTTCTGTTTGCAGGTCTGGTAATGTTTTATATGTGTTGTATCTAATAGTTGCCTTATCTTCTTCACCCCCGCTTTGTGCCAGTCATTTATGTTCAAGTCGATTGTGTATAATTGTAGAGATGATAAAGGTGACATAGTTTATTTACTCATTGCTTCAATATTTTTTTTTGCAGAATGTTGCACTAAAAGCTTGCCTCCTCAGCCAAGCCCCTCATCCCATAATGACTTTCTTAGCAAATGTATGCTACAGCTGGGGTGAGCTAATTCTAATTCTCAACCTGGATGCAGACAGTCAGAGAAACTATAAGCAGGTAGTGATATCCTTACTATATGTCTCCCTGAGTGTCCTCTCCTTCTAATGTAGGCTGTTTTGTTCTTTAGATCATTTATTACTGTCAGTGGCTGAGCTGTGCATAGCTTTGATAAGGAAGTCTTTTTCTGGAGTGAGGGGGAGTGGCTAAAGAGGCAGGCTTATGCTGCAGCATTCAGCTAAACATTTTTTTATTTTTTCAAAAACTATACATATTTGAGAATGCAAAAAATACAGCATAATAATGAAGCCAAAACCTATCAAATGTGTTTAGTTGTATTGGTGCCCGAAGTGTCCCTTTAGCTTGAAAAATGGCCATGCTTTGCAATCAAGGAAGGCAATCAAAATAATATCATGCAAAACAATGTGTTTGAAAATTTGAATGCCAGTAAACCTTAAATAGTACTAGTTTAGAAAAAAGCCCCAGTATCATTAGGTAATGATTCAGCAAGGTCTTCGACAAGTAACTGCACACTTCAACTAGCAAGCTCTGTCGTGCTCCCCTCCCAAAAACCAGTAACTCCGAGTGCCATGACAGATGGGTTTGTTATTAATGGTTAGTCACCTTGTATGTAAGGTCAGCATTTTTGTATTCTTATGTATCTAAAACATAGTATTTTAACCTAATGTCAAATCCATGATATAATGCTCCAGATCTAGGCTGAGCAGAGGTTTCTGTAGGAACAAAAACAGTTCCATTTTTAGACTTGAGATCGAACATTTCAGACATACCAAAGTTAATTCCTGCTATGTGTAAACAATTCTGTATTACTAGCAGGATGCTAATGTACACAAAACACACAGTATTTATTTGACGGAGTCACACTGGGTATCAGCAGACGATTACTGGAAAAGTAGAGATCAAGCAGAGCAGGTCTGAGATACACATTGTTCATTTATGCATAATATCTCCTATAATATTAAACAGGGTTACACACTAGAGTCCGAATGGGCAAAACCATCTGGCTATGCATTGGACTATTTGGACTGCAAAATCCTGATTCCAGCCCGACCGAACGCTACCGGACAGCTGAGATTCGGAACAGAATGCTTAAAATCTATGCCCACATTTTAAAAATCTCCACCTTGTGTGTACGGAATGTCTACGTTTATCAGAGACACTATCAAGTTCTAGATCAAGTTCATTTTAAACAAACAACAATAAATAGAACATATTTCTTAGTCTACGATGGTGTTAGCTTATTTACATACAGATCGTACTCCGCTTTATTCTGCTACCTACCCAGACAGAAAGCTAGTGACAATGACACTATTAGCTGACCAAATACCATAAGGACATTATATTACTAGGTCTTGGACACATGGCTCAGGTAAGCGCCCAGTATCCGATTATTCGCACATACAGCTGGTGATGCTTGTGTTGGTTCTTGATACGACCACCTGTTGTTAATGCTGAGCGTGCAGACATCCAGCAGACAGCTGATGGTGACTGTGCTAGTTTGCAAGACAAACAGCTAATTGTGAGGGTGCTATTCAGAGGCAAACAGCTGGTGAGAGTAATGTTTGCTCTTAAGACACAGCTGATTCGAGTGTGACGACCCTTAAGTGTAGATAGTATGTGTGTCGACTCTCAGGATAAAAGCTGATGGCTTACATGTGGTTTTCAGAATATAAAGGTATGTTTTCAAATGTTTAAAGGATACTCTAAGCAGCAAAACAACATTAGCTTAATAAACCATGCCACTGCAGTCTCAATTCTCTGCCACTTAGGACTGCAAAGGCATGATCTATACACCATAACCACTGCATTAAAAGGTACACAATAGTCCCCCAAACAACTTTAGCTTAATTAAATAGTTTTGTATTCCAACCTGACCGAACGCTACCAGACAGCTGAAATTCTAAATAGAATGATTAATATCCAGGCCCAGATTTAAAAAATCCAAACTATTTGCCCACTAGCAGCCAACAGGTAAATAGTAAAAAAAAAAAAACACAAAAAAAACCTTGGCGTAGAGGGATTGTCTATACACAAAAACAGCTTCATTAAGCTAAAGTTGTTTTGGTGACTATAGTGTCCCTTTAATCTAAAATTGTTTTGGTGCTTATAGTGTCCCTTTATATGTCACTGTGGGGTGAAAAAGGTTACTGTTCTGGTGGAAATTGTCAAAAGATGATGGAAACGATGGTTAGTGATTAGTGATTGAGTTAAGTTTAAACTGTGCAGTTAAAGGACCACTATAGGCACCCAGACCACTTCAGCTTAAGGAGGTGGTCTGGGTGCCAGGTCCAGCTAGGTTTAACCCTTTTTTCTATAAACATAGCAGTTTTAGAGAAACTGCTATGTTTATAAATGGGTTAATCCAGCCTCTAGTGGCTGTCTCATTGACAGCCGCTAGAGGGCTTCCGCGCTTCTCACTGTGAAAATCACAGTGAGAAGACGCCAGCGTCCATAGGAAAGCATTGTGAATGCTTTCCTATGGACTGGATGAATGCGCGCGCAGCTCCTGCCGCGCATGCGCATTCAGTCGAAGAGGAGGCGGAGAGAAGGAGGAGAGTCCCCTGCCCGGCGCTGGAGAAAGAGCCCGGCGGAAGGGGGACCCTGAGGGTGGGGGCAACCTCAGGGCACTATAGTGCCAGGAAAACGAGTATGTTTTCCTGGCACTATAGTGGTCCTTTAAGCGGGAGGGCCTAATATAACATTCTAAATGCTACTAGAGGATTTGTTCCCTGGATTCTTATTTGAAAGATGTTCGATATCTGTAGTGGTTTGCTAATCCACAACTTATCATTAATGGGTTTGCATGAGCAATTGTTTGTTTACATAGTTCTGATCTATAACAATTTAGTGCTTTTTGTGGAGATTCCCACTTAAAGGGTTAAATTAAAGGGTTACAGTTATAGGACCACTGCACCAAGATCACTTCATTGAGATGAAATGGTCTGGGTAAATATCAACCTACTGAAATATACTTAGAGAATGTGCCAATGTACATAGGGATTAGAAATACTGTATACCAAACTAAAAACCTTCAATTCTGTTTTTGCAAATGAAATAAAAAAATGTTCATAGTGTAATATGTGCAATTAAAATGTTCATAGTGTAATATCGATTGCAATTATAAAGTACCACGTATTGGGGGAAAAAAGTGCTAGTTACAAACAGTGACAAATTTAGTTTATGACCCCTCTGGCCCCCCAGAGAAAAACTGCACATTCCTCAAGCGGCAAGTGTAGGTCTGGACCCTTAGCTTGCCGATATTGGTGACATTTACACATTTCTGTGCCCGAAAAGTCTGTTCTGTATACGCTACATTTGATATATTAAATGATCTGGTAATTGTCTCATAGTAGAATTAACCCCTTGCAGCGTTTCTCATTTTGGATATTGCTTCTAGCCTCCCCTTTGCTGTCAGTAGAAAAGCAGCATTTGGGCTGTTTGGCTGCATTTGGTATAAAGTTGTTATTTTTTTACGTACTGCAGTTACCTGTCCACTTTTTAAAGTTTTTACATTCTGTACATGTTTGGCATCTGTTACAGGAAGCTGGCAACAGAGAGCTAATGGCTGCGCCCCCCCATGTCCTCAACCTGTCTCCCAATGTCCATCACTTTCAAGTAATGTGTATGACGTCAGTGGAGGAGAATTGGTCTGAGAGAGACTCTTGCAGTGGAACTAGATAAAAAGAGTTTTAGCAATGTTTTTGGTTGTTTTTTGGATGGTGAGGAGACCAGGATGGTAACGGTCGCAATTACCAAAAATAATGTTTTAATGGACCCCTACAGCTCAGCCTAATTCAGCAGTTTCCCAGCCTCTTTTAGCAGCATTTCTCTTAATAAATGGGAAGACATGTAGGCATCGAGTATGAGTGGACACACACACTGCAATGATATTTGCAGCTGTAACCTCTGGATGTTGTCACTGGTGCTAAAACATGAATTATTAATTTCAGTCTCAGTGCACAAGTTGGGTCATACCAAGTCTATATCTTAAACCACTTGTCTATAAAGGTCAGAAAGGCTTCCCTGCAGAGACATTCCACTAGTTGCAAACAGATTTTCCTACAAGCATGACAGCATCCACAGAGCTGTCACACTTGTCTCAAGTTGTCCGCATATGTAAGGGCTGCAGTTATGGAGTGAGTGCGACTCCTATATAACACATCATTTTATTTAACTGTAACTGTATCACGCTATGTAATGTTTATAACTGTTACAGATCTACATACATAATTTATCCTATTCCTGTTTCATCTTCCCAGGTGTTATTTAATTTACTGTATACTAGGTGTTTTTCCACTTTTTTCTTGTGCCTATTTGTATATTAGGTGTGTGTGAGGTACACCTGGGTAACACCTAGTTTTTCACGTACCACTTGAAATTCTTCATTAGTGTGTACTATTACACTTTTACAGTAGTGTAAGTATATATATTTCTCTCTAATCACTGCAGTTATGGAGGCCTCAGGAGGACAAGCTGCCTTAAAGTCTAGTAGGAGCTCAACTAAAAAGCAATTAAAACATGCCAAATAACACAACCTCAGCAGTCCTACCAAAAGCAGGTTTTTGTGTGAGCATTGGGGGAAATAAGTGGCATGAAACTGAAGGCACAGAGATACATAGAGACTTTATAAGGCTTGGTGTATATTAAATGGAATTCAGGTCAATGAACAATATATCCATTATAATACACCAGTCTGTAACGATCCCATGTAAAAACAGAATGCCTAATGAATGTAGGGCTGTAAATGCAAAGTATGTAGGGAATCTTTAGGTTCCAGGTTGTAATTTCTGAGGGTTTCATAAAGACTCTCTAATAGACCATTCAGTTTATTTCCTTTATATTTACGTACTCTGTATTTGTTACTTCTATTCATCATTACTGTCATCTTTGTTATTTTGGGTCTGTGTTTCTTGTGTTGATTAAGATGGACATATTATTTACAGGGACATTCCTTTATGGGCATTGCAACCTTTCACCTCTCTGGATGCTGACAGCTTTTGAACTTTCAGAGTTTGTGTTTCAGCTACTGTCATTTGTGGTGGTACAGATTCTGTGCCTCACCATAATCAGTCCACAAATGGCTAAATAGGTGCTACATATAAACAAGAACAAAGGATGACCAGCAGACTTGTACTATCGGAAAAGATGGGCTGATGGCCCTGCTTCCTAATTTTATCTGCTGGATTCCATACTTACAGGTTTTCATTCCTCACACATAGAATAATGACCACTTAATTAATGTATGTGGTATCACGTAAGACCTAGAGAGTTTCCATTTATGCTGATGGCCAGCGTGCTGACTCACAGAACAACGAGGCATAACCCACACCTGCTCCAGAGGTGTTGGTCCGATCGTGACTTGGAAACCAAGGAAATTAAATACTCTGCTTCTATGGGACACTAGAGGAACTCGTGTGGAGTTGCTATATTATCATACGTGTATATAATGTTTATATCTCAGTGTAATTGTACATGTTTGCACAGCAGGAGAGAATTTCTGTGCCGTTAAACCCCTCTACTCATCCTTGTGTTTTTAAACAGACAGCTCAATGTTGGCCCATTTTCTAATTCTCAGTATCTACAACATGTAGATCAGCATCTTGATGTGCCACACCTCTGAGGTGGATAAATTATCTCGGCAAAGGAAAAGTGCTCACTAACACAGATTTAGACAGATTTGTGAACAATATCTGAGAGAACAAAAAGTCTTAGATCTTTGAGTTCGGCTCATGAAAAATGGAGACAAAAACAAAAGTGTTGTGTTTATAATTTTGCTCAGTGTATATATAATGTATGTTATTTTAACCTCCCTGCAAAGCACATGGAAGGAAACACAGCTATGAGCTCACCCCCTCACCATGACCTGTCTTCATTTGCCCCTGTACTCACAGGATGATTCATTGTAGTACACGTTAATCCTCTCGAGCTGCAGGGCTGAATCACCGACATAGCTTCCTGCTGGATCTATTCCATGTTCATCACTGATAACTTCCCAAAACTTGTGGAGAAGAACAAGAGAAAGAGACAAAGGAAATACATTTAGTTCACAATTCGAGGAAACAACTTGTTTAGTCTGCTACAGCTCTCAAAGCTGCCGGTGTATATCTAATGATAAATTATATAGATAGGAACATTTCCACTGCAACACAACTATATACCTGTCCTGTCTGTTATTGACACGCAAGAATATTTTAATAGAGACAACTTGTAGCACTAGATTCATTTTATCAATGAGGACACTTACTAGGTACTTAAAGGTCCCCCTCACCCTCAGGGTCCCACTCCCGCTGGGCTGAAGGGGTTAAACACTTACCTTTCTCCAGCGCCAGGCTCCCTCTGTGCTGGGGAACTCTCCACCCCCTGCTGGCGTCAGCTCCGAATGCGCATGCGCAGCAAGAGCCACGTGTGCATTTAAACAGTCCATAGGAAAGCATTTCACAATGCTTTCCTATGGACATCTAGCATCTTCTCACTGTGATTTTCACAGTGAGAAGCGAGGAAGCACCTCTAGCGGCTGTCTTTCAGACAGCCACTAGAGGCTGGATTAACCCTCAGTGAAAACATAGCAGTTTCTCTGAAACTGTTATGTTTACAGCTGCAGGGTTAACACTAGAGGGACCTGGCACCCAGACCACGTCATTGAGCTGAAGTGGTCTGGGTGCCTATAGTGGCCCTTTAAGAAGATTCATATTCTGGAACATTGATTTAGCTTTTTTATTTTTGTAATTGTATATTTCAAAAAGGCCTCTAAAAGAAATCTACAAAGAAGCCACCACAGGACATGAGTGGGTATGGGCATGTAACGGGTGGGTGTGGGCATGTAATGGAGTGTGTATGGGCATGTAAACAAGTGGGTATGGGAATGTAAACGAGTGTGTATGGGCATGTAATGGAGTGTGTATGGGAATGTAAAGGAGTGTGTATGGGCATGTAATGGAGTGTGTATGGGCATGTAAAGGAGTGTGTATGGGAATGTAATGGAGTGTGTATGGGCATGTAAAGGAGTGTGTATGGGCATGTAAAGGAGTGTGTATGGGAATGTAAAGGAGTGGGTATGGGAATGTAAAGGAGTGGGTATGGGCATGTGATGGAGTGGGTATGGGCATGTAAAGGGGTGGGTGTGGGCATGTAATGGAGTGTGTATGGGCATGTAAAGGGGTGGTTGTGGGCATGTAGTGGAGTGTGTATGGGAATGTAAAGGGGTGGGTATGGGCATGTAAAGGAGTGGTTATTGGCATGTAAAGGAGTGGTTATTGGCATGTAAAGGAGTGGTTATGGGCATGTAAAGGGGTGGGTAATCTTTGGACTATACATTTAGAAAATGGTCAAGCCCAAAATAGACAAATTGGGTAAAATAGCCAAACTGGAGAGAGTTTCCGGTTTTGCTATTTTTGACAATTTGCAGATCATTGAATAAACCCCTTGGTAATAATTCTGTAACCTGCAACAATAAAGTAGATCAAAATATAGCAGCATAGACAGGGTTATTCACTAAACTCTGAATTTTAGAGCATTAAAACTGAATGCCAAAACTGAGACTAATTATTTGATCTGGAAAAATTATCCAGGTCAGCTATAGTCGCAGCTTGGCAAGTTTAGCCTCAGCCTTGCCTTCCGATTTAAAGGGACACTACAGGCACCAAAACAACTTTAGCCTAATTAAGTTGTTTTGGTGTACAGATCATGTCCCTGTGGCCTCACTGCTCAATTGTCTGCCATTTAGGAGTTACATCACTTTGTTTATGCAGCCCTAGTCATACCTCCCTGCTTGTAATAAGCACAGACTTCCTAAACATTTCCTGTAAAGTGAGATCTAATGTTTACACTTCCTTTATTGCACAGTGTGTTTAATTTATAATGTCTCTGTGTGTGATTAAAAGTCAATTTACAGACCAGGAGATAAAAGCTTCTAAAGTAAGTTAAGATCTGATTGAAAATGAAACCATTTTTTGTTTATGTAGGCTGTGCCAGTCACAGCCAGGGGAGGTATTGCTATGTCAAAATAAACAGAAACAAAAGTGATTTAACTCCTAAATGGCAAAGAATTGAGCAGTGATACTGCAGGGCTACGTAACCACTGACTTAAGTAGCTAATAGTCCACCAAATTATCATGTGGTGAGACAATGGCAAAAAAGAAGAAAGTGTTGATCATCTTCCAGCCAATAAAATGCTTCTAATAGGCAAGCATTGGGAGTCAAGGCGCATGCACAGCTATTGTTGCGCTGTTCCTGCAATTTTTCTTACAGCACAAATTAATGAAGAATAGTGAGTATCAATCAGACAGCTGGGGAAGCAACTTAGCATCATTATAAAAGTGCCGATATCTACTGAAATTGCAGGGGGTTTTTAAGTGTGAAAGAGAGAAAGCTCTGTTAAACCCTAAAGACCCAAAGCTGAGTTGCATTAAGGGTTTGGAATTTTCATTTTCTGAATAAATGAGTAACCTTGATAGTTTAGTGAATACATCTCACAAAGTCCCATTTGTAGCATAGTAATGTGAATCTAATCACAGTGGTCCAACTATCCTTTCTGTTTCAGTTCTACAAAATGTTTCTTACACAAATGCTGGGTGAGCCTCTTCCTCCACACCTCTTTGGTTTAGTGAAAGAAACACAGCGGGTGACAATTGCTCTAGTGATTGCGATGAAGATGCGGACCCATTCAAACCATAAAACAATAAAATATAATGCTATTCACTAAAGTGAGAATTCAAAGGGAATTTCAAATATACAGTCACAATAGCCAATCCGTAAAAATTATCTAATACAGCTTATGCTTCCAGTTCAACTGCTTTGGCCTTAAATTTGAAATTAACTTTTAATTCTCACTTTAGTGAATAACCCTGATAGAGAACTTTACAAAATATTAGAAATAAAGAGAGAGGGAAATAAACAGTGAGGGACAGAGATGACCCCCTTATTAATGTCAATGTAGGGCCAGAGCTAGATTTAAGTGAGTGTTATAAAGCTGAGAACAGCCATATGGTGTACATGCTGGCAATAAGTTTCTACTATTTTAACAGGTATCATAACTTAAAGGGGCACTATAGTCAGCAATACAACTTTAGCTTAATGAAGCAGTTTTGGTGTATAGATCATGTCCCTGCAGTCTCACTGCTCAATTATCTGCCATTTATGAATTAAATCACTTTGTTTATGCAGCCTAGTCACACCTCCCTGCATGTGACTTGCACAGCCTTCCTAACACTTCCTGTAAAGAGTCATATAATGTTTATACTTCCTTTATTGAAAATTCGGTTTAATGTAGAATTTCTTATCTTCTGCTGTGTTAATAGCTTGCTAGACCCTGCAGGAGCCTCCTGTATGTAATTAAAGTTCAATTTGGAGAGCTGATAATACAAAATTGTAATGCAAGTTACTATCTGATTGAAAACTAAACCATTTTTTATACAGACTGTGTGAGTTACAGCCATTGGAGGTGTGACCATGGCTGCATAAACAGAAACAAAAGTGATTTAACTAAATGACATGATCTATACATCAAAACTGCTTCATTAAGGTAAAGTTGTTTTGGTGACTAAAGTGTCCCTTTAACTACTGCTTTCAGTGGTTTGTTTTCTGTGTGCAAATCGTATAATGTGTTAATGTGTGCAATTTAGAAAGTAATACCAAGGAGGCACTGATTGACTAAGAAATTATAATTAAGAGAGAAAAAAACAAATCAGGAATGTTTGAAATGTGCCACCTTGTGTTCATCATCTTGGGCTTATTCATTAGTGGAACATGATATTTTGGCCCTTGTGCCAGGCCAGCCTGAAGGAGGTGAGTCCATAGCAGCTGGTGGAATTCCTGGCATTGTACAAATGCACCCGGGGCACTCCCTGCTCCAAATGCTGCAGGACAAGGGGCCATAGGGGGGTGGACAATTCTAGGATTTCAAAAGGATGAGAGATAGTCTGATATAGCTCCTTGCCCACACTCTTCCTAAAATGTAAGAAATGTAACTGAAAATGTATGCTATTCCTTGTGGTATCAATAACCTAACTGTTCAAATGTTTCCTATATAAGAAGAGATTTGTAGCAGACACACTTTACATTTTATAAATGTCTTCAATAAACCTTATAACTGTCTCGTTCAAACCTTGAACAATACACTTCTTAAAGTACTTTGAATTGACAGAATTTACAAGAATTTCCCACAGGAACAGAACTTGGAATTAACCCTCACAGTGACAGGGATACAAACATACTGAGGGGCCCACACACATGTCTGATGAAATACAAGTTAAATCACAGGTTTTAGTCATATCTGCCCAATAAATATTCACATTTGAGAAAAAAAAACCAAAACAGTGGTTCCAATAAAATACCAAAGAATCCCCACTGCTTTAGTTAAACGATTTTGCTTGGGTGATTTTGTAGAGTTTTTCTCTGAAGTGAAGAGTTTTACTAGGCACATTGGCATTGCCAGGAGTGGAGAAGCTAGTGTTAGGAGTGTCCTGTCCAATCTCTGGGTATGAGCCCTGCCTTGTATGGACACAGCTCATAGTTTCACATTAATATCATCATCTCTCCTCAGGAAAAGGAAACACGTTGTGCTTTCTTTTTACTTTTTTTTGGAAAATGAAATAAATAATAAAATAAAGAGCAGAGAACACACCCAATCACAGCCACGAGGGGAAAAAAATATATTCTTGCTAATTCACATTTACTGTTTTATAGCTCCCACCTCCCCATCCCCCAAATCAAAGCATTTCCAAAAAGAAAAACCAGTTCAGTCTGGGTAAACTTTGGACTCATTTTTGTGTTGGGAGTGGAGGTCGTCTTGCAACATTCTAATGACAAGATACTGAGACAAACATTGTATCAAACATCTGGCAATCACTATCAGCCCCAGAACAGGGGGACACAATAAGAGAGCACTCGGCTAACTCTGGTGGTGACACACCGCTCAGTTCAACTTAACCCTTACAGTGCCAGGAGTGCCGACAAACCCAGTCACTGCCCCAACGCAAGATCCCATTACAAAGATCATTAACCCTTTGATCCAGCGCACTGCAATTAAAAGGGTTAATATTGAATATATAATGTACGTTTTATTTTCCCTCTACAGATCCAATGCAATGTAGCACCAGACGCATTATATTGAATGAAAGGCTGTCCAGCCATCCCAGTCAGTGAGGTAGCTGTAATGTCACGTTACCTTGGTCCCAATCTGGTTTCCACACTGGCCAGCCTGGATATGCACTATTTCCCTCATGTTCCCCCTGCTGTGCTGCTGCTGCTGCCGTACCGTGCGCTATGTGGATGAGAATATGATGTGTGGGGATCCTCCCTGTCGGCTGAATAACTCCACAGCTCCACCATCCAACCAGCTCACAGCCAGGGGACAGCCTCCACTGGGCTGGATCTGACACCAGGACAAACCAGACCACAGGGAGGGAGCATTAAACACTTTATATCTCCAGTCCGCATTCCAACCAAAAGGACCACCACTGAAACTGTGTACATAAGGATATATTTTACATATACCACACCAATCAGTGCTGAATCAAAAACAAATTAATGATACATACTGGTAGAAAAGAAAAAGACAAAACAAAACAGTATTCTAAACAACAGCCATATACTGTGATAATGTGTATTCCAGCAGGGATGGGAAAGATTCACTTATTACAATAGTTCGATTATTTTGGCTGTCTTGGTTTTGGACCTTTAACATACAATATTCCATTTTTTTCACACACCATTCATTTTTAAAATCATTTTCTCATATGCGTCTGGTTACACAATTATTATTCTACTGGTCTGACTACAAGGGACAATTGGGATGTAGCAGGTATCAATACTAACTCTCCCAGTTTGACAATAAATATATTATTATGCTGTGGTGTACTTATACAGGCAACAATAACTTGGTAAATCTGTGTTCACAATAGATTGATTCATGTTTGCTGAATGTAACACTTTCCAAATACCAATTATAATAATAAACCCTTTATATTAAACTCCTACATAAACCAGCTTGTCTTTTTTTCTGTAAACAGGTGTATCTTTATAATTTGTGTACTGGAACTGGGGCATGGGTAGGACAATTAATTACCCATCTAAACTCCTGTTCTATAAATGTTTATGTTAAAATGTAAGCACTATCAGTCTCAGGCTACGCTTTGCTGGGCCTCTGACCCACGTTAAGAAAATAGTAACTCACTTAGGGACACTTCGCATTATGACTAAAACATTTAGCTGTGTCAGTATTTATCTTCGATTACTTCACACAGCATCGAGGGGGGTTCATTTAGCAGACGTTGCACTGGATGGTGAATGCAGGGAAGCAGCACCTTCACAAGTCTTCTCAACTCAAATAAGATGGAGTGATATGCAAAACAAGAGGACAAATAAAATGCAATATGGTGTAGTATTTTCGATGCTGGTGATTATCTTTATTTGAGTTGAGGACACTTGTGAAGGCGCTGTTTCCCGGCATTTGTTTTCTATATCTACCTGCGGCCAGAAGGAAGAAACTCTGGTTTGGGAAGTCCAAGCTGCCACATAGACTTTGAATAAGCGCTAGAAAGCCCATCATTTTATTTAGGTGCCTGCTATTTGCTTACACCAGTAATAGCTAATGTTGTCATCTTAAGTGTTTCTGAACAACATTTCCCCTGATGCTGAGCCAGCCTTAGAGTGATATCTTGGGTCTTTGCATATTTCTCAGAGCCCCTAATGGTGACTCCTCCGATGGGTGTCCTGTGACCATGGGGTGAAGGGAAGGTGAGTTCTACTTATCTGAATCTGTCACTTGCAGTCGGAGTAATGGTTTTTCTGCCAGTCTTCTTCAGCTACGGGTGTGTCATTTCTCATCCGCCCGACCATAGGATCTTCCATAGACAATCCCTCCATTGACAACTAGACGGGTGTAACTCCACCTTTTTCTTGTCAAGCTTGTCAAGTGTAGTAAATACATTAAGACAAAGTAGTCCCTAATTTGTCTCAGTATATCCTTTAACTTCATTGAACTTTCAGTGAAATTCAAACAAAGCCAATGTGCGTATTTCATGATTTTTAGGGGAATGGCCAGGAAACAGTGAGGGTGGACCTGACCAAACAAGGGGTACTGTCAGAAAAGAGGCCTGTGAAAAGGAGACATGATAACCTGGAAGGTATACATACCTCGTTGACAGTAAATCACACTTGTCAATCTCACACAGGGCTGCCCAAGTGCACAATGCTGTTGAAATGCTCTCGCATTTGTGCGAAGCATTGACAGCACTTTTTACAGAGCTAGAACGAATCCTGATATACTCACACAGTGCTGATTGGAGACAGTTTAGAAGGGGGGCACCATAGACCAACACTTTGCAAAAGGGAATGGGCAATACCATTACAACAAGGCTAGGGCCAAGTTAGAGGCCAGGCTCATAAAACATTGAACAACTGTGGCGCTGTAGTAAATATAGTTATGCATCTGTTTTTATATTTTGAGAAATTTATTAAATGGTTTTGCTGTTTGTTCAAATTATACCAATGCCTACATAACTACACACTCTGTATGTACATAAAGAGACAGGTTGGACTAAACACCATGGAAGTAGTTGTTTTAATCCAAGCACCATGTATGCTTATAGTTATGGTGCAAATAGTGTGTTCGTGCCAAGTTGTACCAAACTTATTTTAGGAAGGGGTGTAATCAGCGGTGGGTATGTCCATAACGCAGTCACGGTCACAAACATAGTACCCATGTTGCCAGTATGAAAGGTTATCTGGCTTTTAGTTGCGGCATGATAAACACCTGCATTAATTTTCCAACTTTGGGCAGCAGTTATGTGCTGCTACTGCTGGCAATAGACTAACCTTACCAACCATTGCCTTTCAAACTTGGACTGACTAGTGCAGCGGTTTACTTCCACATTAGCTGTAATGCAAGACGTGGGCCAAACCTTAGGTACTGGGAAAGCATCAGTTTTTTTTGTCAAACTGCAAATAAGTGGGATTGCACTCATATACTCTTTGCATCATAACCATTACAATGAAAGGTAGTGGTTGTAGTGCTTAGAGTATCCCATTAAATAATGGATGAAATGTCCAATAGCCTTCTCTTTATATGGGTTCATTTTTAAAATAGATATTTCCTACGAAAAAAATAGTGTTGGGGAAAAAGGATGAATTTCCTAAGATGCCGAACATCACACCTCTAATGATTATAGGTCTACATGAAATGTAGCAACTCAGCACATGAGTAAATAGGTTCCACACTCAGTACCATCATGGCAACTGGCTCTATCTGATTACAAGAGTCTCATGCCTCACAGCTCCATCTGGCCTCAGGACAAACATTGCAAAGCAAACCCAGAGAAGTGAGGCTTCCTATAGGCTATTTTTACACACCAGCTCGAAATGCAACAAAAGCACAGGGTGATTTAACGCTCTGTGCCAAAATGTTCTTCTGATCCCATGTAAACAGCTGAAGTGACTGTTCAACATGACAGCGCTGCCAAGTATTTGCAGATCATATATACACACATGTCAAACTTAAAAGTCAGTAAAATTGAGTAAACCTGTTATCCTTTTTTGTTTTAACAGGTGGGCCCTTTAACCCATTGATGATAATGGATTCAAACACACATTTAACGAGTACCTGTAACCCCCCATACAAAAGTATTCTCATTCTAAAGAGCATAAGATTTCATCAATACTTTGCTTTGGCAGTTTTTTTTGGGGGGAGGGGGAAATTAGGAGAAACACATTTAAAGTCAACTCTATGCTCCTGTCTCCCTGAATGCAATCAGAAACCCTTCTCACCCTAAGAAGAGTGTTTTGCAGAAGTTATTTTTTAATGTTATATAGCATGTGACAGATGGCTCATCTGTGCTTACTTTACAATTGATGACACGCATGTAATATGGATCCCGGTCATTAGAGTACCATACCAACCACTAATGTAATGAATGTTTGCTGTATGTAGTAAGGAATTAGAGATGCTTAACCGTATGCTCACATTAGTATCCTTACTTGAATCGTGTACAGGGATTGTAGTCGGCACTGATGCTAGATGGACTTGCTACTCTACTACAGCAATGTTTTGCAAACTCTTTAGCAGTAGTGGTTATAGGAATACTCTGGGCACTAGAACAACTTCATTGAAAATCACGTTGTTATGGTGCTCGGAGTTCCCTGGCACTGGCTCACTTTAAAGGGTTAAATAGTTCTTGAAAGGTTTAACCACAAAGTCTGTGTTCCGGCACCGAATCTCCCTGCCTCTCTGTCCGTCCATTTTCAAAAAATTGGGAAACCAGAAAGCTCTTGCAGAATCAGGCAGTGGCACGTGCCTTAGAGTGGTCAGCAGACACTCTCAGCCAATCAGTGACTCCCCATCCACAAAACTGGCTTGAAAAAAGGTACATTTCTTTTCAATCCAGTTTTATGAATGGGGAGTCACTGATTGGCTAAGAGCATCAGCTGACCACTCTCAGCCAATCAATAGCATTGTTGCCTGATTCTGCAAGAGCCTTCTGGTTTCCCGATTTTGAGAAAACGGACGGACAAAGAGGAAGTGAGATTCGGAGTTTGTTATGGTACCCAAACCAGTCATTTAACCCCTTAACCCCTTAAGGATACAGCTTCAGAAGCTTGTCTTACGCTTATTGACACAAGCAAATTTTGCATTTTCTTGCTGTTTGCGTTCAATTGCAATTTGCATCTCTCTCATTTATTGCACCGACACATATTGTATACTGTTTTTTTAAAGGACACAAAGGGCTTTAATTTGATGTAACATATATATGTTTAAAATGAAAAATTAGGTTTTTTTACAGTTTTTGCAATAATAATGTGTGCATAATTAGTGCAGGTTAAGGAAAGTAATTAAAAATAAATTCATTTAGTTGTTCTGATTTACAGAATAAATAATGTGACTGGGAATTTAAGTTTTTTTTGGTAGTTACAGGTCACAAAGCACAAGGAGTAAAATAAATTTTTAATGTGGAGCGATTTTAGAATTTGGTATGTTTGTCTTGTAAGCTTAATAGCCATAAAAGAAAACAAAATTGCCACACAAAAGTATATATTTATATAAAGTAGACATCACAGGCTATTTACCTAAGGTTGTTTTGACACTTTCTACGTAGCCATTTCACTGCCAATCTCTGCTAAATATTGGAGTAAAATTGTGTTTGTTTGTTTTTTGGCACACAAACTTATAACAAAGAACTTCTCATGTGTATTTTGTAAAGTTGGTGTGTGCTATTCCTGTACAAAACTTTATTTTGTATTCAGTACATCTACTGAGTAAAATGACACCCCCATTGTATGTCTTTGGCACTATTTCGTGAAGCTACAGTGCTATATAGAAGACCTGTCCTTTTCAGTATATACAGTAGAATTTTGAGAGACGGATTTAATGGGTCTATGCTTCAATTTGGGGTATTATAGCAGTTTGACTGTTCAAAAAAAACCCACAAAGGCCTACCATTTGTAAAAGTAGACACTCCAGGGTATCTCATATGGTGCATATTGTGCCTTAAAATGCCCCCATTTT